TAGTTTATATTTCAATTTATAATCGCAATTGACTTAAAGACGTGTGTATCGAATTGATTGTGAGCCACAGCAACGCGTGAAAGGGGCACCCCCTAGTTTATCATAAAAATATGCACATAAACTTTCTACAAAATAATATACAAAAGTAATTTTACACAATACTATGTTTCCTTTCATTTTTTTGTTACAGAAAATATAAGAGATTATTCAGATTACAATCATAATTTTGTTGTTAATAATTTCACTTAGAAAACAAAGGTTTTTCAGTGTGTCGAGTTGAATAACGTTGATTCGTACTTGTACAATGGGAAAGGTAATGATTACCTTTAAAATGCACGGTCCATTTACGAAAGAAGTACGTAAATATGTAAAAGGATGATAGTGTCTGGTACGTTAAGAGAAAAGATTATAAATATGATGGTACCAGGTTGTAAGGATGTGGGTGGTACATATAGAAGACATGATTCTCGTCGCCTATGGCGTAATCAGCCATATCAATGCACACCACGCACACATCTAACAGTCATGACACTTAATTCACCTATTGTCTTTTAAAAATCTTCTTATACTTTTTCATCAACTTCTTACCCTGGTTTCTTTCTATTTTTATTTTTTTTATTTTTTTAAATGTTTCTGTTTAATATATATTGTTCAAAAAAGAATTATCTCATTTTAGTAAATTGAAATTTTTTCATTTTCTACAAACAACGTGTTGTGGTGGTATTAGAAAATGGTGGCACTTGTGGTTGGTACTTTACAAGGTAAAAAGAAACATTGTTAACAAAAAATGATGGCAAAGTACGATTAAAACTCTCTTGACCGACATAATTCTCCTACCGCGACTATTAGATGAGTAATTGCATTCCACGGAAATTTGCTAGGCGTCAATGACACTAGAAACGAACCACCACCATTACCCATCATCACCATCAACATTACTCGACAATTAAACTACACGTAAACCATTCCTATTTGTTGTTTCTAACCTAGAAATATACAGTGAATTTACAAAAGTATTTAAACACTATGAAGTATTTTATTCATTATAATAATTATATTATTAATATCGGATGTTGGTATGACTTTTTAGGTTATATATCTATATAAAAAAGATCAAATAAAAGTTTGTATTCTCTATGTTCTGTAAATTTTCGATAGATGGTGCTGTATTACAATTCAATTATTTCAATTATTATCACGTGACACAACTAACCTTACTTTTTACATTTTTTCGAGTATTGTGGTATTGTTTTGCATATTTGTATCGTGACAGGTGTTCAAATAATTTCGTGAATCACTGTCACGTGCTTAATATTTCTTTTTTTCAATCGTACTTTCTAAATCATATACTTTTTTTTATCAATTACAAAATAATGATTCATCAAAGTCACGTGCGCGTACTATACAAAGTTGCTTTTTTAATGTACAAAGAAATAAATAATTAGTTTTTGTTGTTGTTGTGATTACGATATTAAATTGTAAATTTCCGGGGATCATTCGATGACACGTACAAAAGGTTATTGAGATTCTTAAAGTGATAGTTAAACTTGTATCGAAGGTGTAATGCTCGAACGCATACGTGATAAGATGTCTGCCCATTCACACGTACTCATTTTGTTGAATACAAAGTTGGCAGGTCGATAAGTAAGTAAGTACTATGCATCGGTTGTGTTGTATAAGGCCTTTTTCTTCTTTGTTCTCTCAACTTTTTTCTCTCTCTCTCTCTCTCTCTCTCTCTCTCTCTCTCTTTTACCTTCATAGCAATAGAACGTATTGTTCTGAGTCTTCTAAAATCAAGAGAAACGAATAATGCTAAGAAACAACAATCTTTATTCTTCTAACAAACAAAATATTCTTCTTCATTTTGTTCTCTTTCTTTCAGATTAGATTATTTCAACGTTATAATCATTTCTTTGTAGACGAGATAAGAAAAATTATGGTTAGAGTTATGGATATTCAAAATAGGATGTTTTTTGTTAGGTTATAATCATTTTCTTGATAAAAACGTAGAGAAATGAGATAAGAAGAAATGAAGGTTACATTGAGAATTAAAATAGATTATTTCTTTTGTTGTCTATTTTATAAAAATAGAAAAAAAAAGAAAAAAAGAAATAACAGTTAACGAGTTTCTATCGTGTTTTTTGGTCACCTTCGATACGATCGAAGTTGAAAGTTTTTGTATAGCTTCTCGCGTTCCGCTTGCGTGACAAGGTGGTTACAAAAGGGGTGGAGGTGGTGGGTGGTTAGCCCCTTCTCTTTGAATCAGATTCCTGGGTATTCGGTGAATGATCGATAATCGTTTTAATCGATTCCGCTTGAACCGAAAGCTCAATGTAGCACGGAAAGTGTTCGGGGCCCTAGCGAACAACAACCGTAACCGATATTTTTCCGGTTTCCGTTCCCCGTATTACAACGCCGATTGAGAATAACGGTCCGTCCTATCCTCCTCGTCGAATGGTTACGGTTTCCGAAAGTAGTATTACGAGGAAACCGATTTGAAATAAGTCAAATGCCGTCATGTTTCTAGCAGGAAGAACTCGAAAGAAAAGGGGGAGAAATGCAAGAAGAATTATTAAATGCAACAGAAAAAAGGTTAACCGTTATCGAACGTGATTGGCTATTCGAAAGAGATGAAAAACAAATAAACCAAAAAATTAACTCTTCCAATAGATACACTCACACATATTTATACAGTTATGTGTTTTACCTAATTGTAATCTGTAACCTAAAGTCTTTAGGATCTGTTCTGTTCTGTGTATCTTTTTCGATAGATGGCGCTGTATCACAATCTCAATCATTTCACGTTTTTTTCAGGTTTCCATACGACATAACTCACCATACTTTTTATATTTGTTATAATTTACTAAATAGTTTTAGATTTATATTAAATTAACATTTTATAACAAAACCACAAGAACGCGTGTGGCCGGAACATCCTAGTATTTTATATTTTTGTTACTATCCTATTATTAATTGTCCTCCCTACCCCCTCTCCTTCTTAATTATGTTCATTTTTCTAGGCCAAGACGGCAATCTTTTTTTCTATTGTTAAAAGACAATCACGTGATACTTCGTGACAATGTTACATCTCTACCAATTGGCGATGTCACTGAACATGATACAACGATTTTATATTATATCTTTATCGTCAAAATAAAAATCTATCTAAATATTTATATTTATATTTCTAAAGATCATCAAGGATGAATCATGATAACGTGTGTTATCGTGTTTAAGATATGATATATGGAAATAATACCCCGATCGAGATGTTTTAGCAATAAGATAGGAATTATGATTCATTTTGTATTTCAATCGTGTTTATAATCTTTATTTGTTCGATGTTGATAAAGAAATGATTCAGATATTAATTATATAGAAGGGGGGGAGGTTAAATATAAAATCCAATAAATCAATAATTAAAATTGATGATCGATAAAATTATCTCATGTACATATTTACTTTATATGAAGGAATATATCGTGAAGAGGCGTTTGTCGACATTTATCATACGGCATATTTCCCCGACACACCCATCCTGTTGTTCTTCACTCGTAGATTTTCAACTTCCTACCTACGGAAAGAGAGAGAGAGAAACATTATCTTCCAATTCTCGATTATATCCGTTGCTTTCAAATTTAACTGTACATTATAGATACCATAAATATCTTTTCTAATCGTTCACAATAAAAATTAATAACGCATATTTTAATATAGGTTATGTTCAAATGTTTTCACGCACTCACAACACGGTCAAATCTATGACCAAGATGGCGCTGGACTTGCCTGTATCTTTTTTCTTTTATTTTTAAATTAATGGAATAAAAATCTAGTTGTATTGCGTCAAAATTGCAAGAACAGTAGTCCTAAAATACTTTTGGAGGTTACCAATTAGGCACAAATAAAATAATTTGTCAAACAAGGTATTAGAAAATAAAAAAAATATTAAAAAAATGTACGTGTTGTTGACGTGAGGGCAAAAAATCGACGTAATTTCTAGCACAAATCCAATCAATGAAAATGATGAGGTACACAATGGAGTCGTTAATGAGCGAAGGGTGGTGATTTAAAAGTGTGCATGTTGCGCACGTTGCGCATACTATATTCGCGGAAGGAAGAAGAAGAAGGGTCGACAACGATGACTACGACGACGTTGACGACGACGGATTGTTTTCTCATTGATTAAAATCCTTTTCAATGGTCTTCGTCAATGGTCGGCCGTGAAACGTTGAAAAGCTTAGAAGGGGGTCTCAAAAAAACCTTCTCACTCTCTCTCTCTTTCTCTCACCATGTTGAGTTTTTCAACGGGGGGTCGACGACGACATTTTTTTATTTTTTTTTTTATTTCGTGCGTCTAATTGCAGTCACTCTAATTGCGTCTCCCTCTTCTTTTTCTTCTTTTTTTTTTTTCAACTCTAGAATCACAGACATTCTCTTTATCTGTCCTCGAGAAACAAAAAACTAAAATACAGCAAAAATGAAGGGGGAACGTCGAGAGGAAAGGAAAGTATACTAAACTCGCACGCGCCACAATGAAACGCGTGCCGATCAAGCACGCACTATGGGGGAAGGTGGGGTACGTTGTCGTCGTTGACTCGGCAGCTCGTTAAATGAAAATTAGAATTGATTTACCTGCTAGATTGAACGGTACTTAATCTTTCTTTCTCTTACGCACGGATGCTGCCTTTGACTGCTGTAAAAATCTACCTAACTTATCATTTTTTCTCTTGTACCGTGTTTTTTCTTTTAACATTGTATGATGTTAATCAAATTTAATCGGCATTATTTTGTTTGACGTTAGTAGGGGTGAGTGTCATCAGTGTTTGCCTAATAGTTTTGCGCATAACACCAACGTAGCTATTTAATCTTGTAGATATTATCTAAAAAAAAGTAACATGGCGCTACCACCAAACGTCATAACCTTAATTGTATTTGTTTCTATTTTTAAGGGGACTAAATTTGATAAAACATATATACTAATAATGAAATATTATTTTCAGAGTATTGAAACCACCAGGTGGTGGAAGCAGCGATATCTTTGGTTCAACTCAAGACGAGACCAGTCCACGTCGCGTGAAGAACCATAATCAATCTCAACTTGGTAGCGCATTGTTCGGGGACGCTACAGATTCAAGCAGCAATTCCAATTTGACCAACAGCGGCAACAATATGATGGATAACAACGGCGGGGAGACAACAACAACAACACGTTCCGGCACAAAGCCCGGTAATGATTCTTACAATCGCCTGTTTGGCCCTCCCGATGCCCCACCCGCAACCCCAAACGCGAAAAATTACATGCGAAGCAATATACCCCTCAACGGGGATGATACAACGTCGCCCGCTAAAAGTACATCAAGCAGCAATTCGAGCTCGAGTATCATCCACAATGGCTTTACCAATACCAACAATTCTAACGTCAACGATATCACAGGTAAGGACATCGTCGTCATTTGCTGATAGACGACTCCATCTTCTTCTTCTTCTGAATCTAAATCTTCTTCTTCTTCTTCTTCTTCTTCCTTATTTAACCTACTCTTTTTTTTTAGTTTTCTATCATAATCACGAGAGTATCTAGATACAGATGCAAGATACATAAAACAGGTTAGAACATTTCAAATGGAAACTGTAGCAACATCAACATTATAAACAACCCTTGAAGATTATCATTGGCTGAATTTTCATTGAAACAACTGTAAGCGACTGTTTTAACGCTAAATTATATTATCATGGAATAATACTCATCACTAAGTTTGCTTTTGACGATACTTTTCAAGGGTTTACTAAACACTGACAAAATGTTCAAAATAATCAAATTGTGCATTGCTAGATTTCTATCGAAATGTTCCATCCTTTATGGGTAGTTATGCTCGTGTAATTTTTGTTTTATTTTGTACATTATTATTTTATGATTTTGTTTCCAACGCTATGAGTGATTTCAAAAAAAAACCTTTCTTTCTCTCTTTCTCTCTTTCTCTCTCTTGTTAAGTTGAAGTAAGAACTTAGAAATGCGCCAGACTCGATATGCTTCGTGTTTCATAGCGGTACTCTCTTACTGTTTGGTAAAAAAACTTACAGCGGGATATTTTATAGACACAGAAGGAAAGAAAAAGAGAGAAAGAGAGAAAGAGAAAGAGAAAGAGAGATGGAAAATAAATTGCTTCGTTGAATAACGTATCTTGAGTACTTGTATCTGGACACTACCGATTACTATTATAACTATATTTTTCATCCTTCCTTTATACATACACACATATATATTATATATATATAAAAATAATTGTAATTGTAATACAGTTAATTGTATTATTATTATTATATATAATATGTATATATGTATATGCCTATATACCTGTATCTATATATTTATACAGGATGGTAAAAATACATGGTTCGATATTTAAAAGGATTGTAATATTTCCTGAAACAAGTCAAACACTTTTAATCAACCCTTTTTGATATAAAAATACATTTTGTATTAGGTGGACTGGAAAGTAATGTCGCTTTAATTCTTACCTTAAATTCAAACGAAAGACTTTTTAACAAATTTTTATTTTTAATTCAATAAGAGTAGTTAAAATAACGGATTTTTTTTACCACCCTGTATGTGACCCTATATATATATATATAATACGAAGCACATTGTGGCATCGATTTTGTTTCTTTTTTTCTTTTTTTTTGTATTTTGTTTTTTTAATTTTTGTATAGATATAAAAACTCTATCTTAAAATATGTGTCTCGCGGGTTGCAGGCTCTCTCTCTCTCTCTCTCTCTCTCATGTGATGTATAAAAATCGTATGTCACAAATTGGTCTTCGTTCTTATTTCCTTTTAGTATTGTAAGTTAGATTTGTTTATTTTTTTTTTTTTTTATTATTATTAGAATATTGTAAAAATTGTAATCAGAATTTGTAAGAAACTTCAAAAGTGTGTACAATGAGAGGCAACAATTTTTGGACAGGTTTCGCGTTTTTCTTTTTTTACAGAAAAAAAAAAACTATGAATTTTTGAAATTGATATACATATATAATTATATTAGTTGTGTCGTAAATGTGTATAGCATGTTAAAAAAAGGAACAACAATTTATTTCTTTTTATTTATGTATAGATAATATATATATATGTACTTTACACATTTAATCTAATGTAAAATGAATTTTCCTTAAACTGTTCGCAAGCAGCTTTTAGGAGAATCAAACGATTTCGTAAGTGTGCAATGAAAAAAAATATTTGAGTAGACGAATTTACAACATTTTGACCACCCTTATTATTACACATATTATCTCGTTCTTTATTTATTTATTTTTTTTTTCTTCGTTTGTTTGCAATTAGACATAGATAATCTTAACATATCTATCTATCTATCTATGTATATATATATATATAGTGTTTTAATTTATCATTCGTCATAAATAATATCTCCTTTTTTTATTAGAAATGCATACATGTATTAAATAATCGATACAAATATTCACTTTAGATTTTGAAATCATAATTTTGACATCGTTAATCAAAAAATGTAAAACAGTTGTAGGGCCTGCCACAGTATAAACGGAAACACATATTTTGAGTTAGATGATTTAACTGTCATCATCATCATCATCATCATTATCATCGTCATTATTGTTATTATTGTTATTATTTGTCGTAAATTTGTTAATCTTTTTTTTTTTCTTTAATCACAAGCATTCGCAATAGCACATATAAATATATATATAAATATTATTTTTGTTGTCACGTCGTTTACAATTTCTATTTAATTTTTAGAGTTAACGCCATATTGTTTTTTCTTTTTTTGTACATTTTAGCTAAAAAGAATGTTAATAACACACACGGAACGTCGTCGTAAACTTGTTGAAATAGAATTTCACGAGCGTAGCTCGTTATTTACCGACATTAAACAACTTTTTTTATTTTACGCGTCTTAAGTGAAAGCAAAATGCATATTATATATATATATATATATATGTATATGTACGCAGTATATTGCATATGTACACATTTTCACGTTGATATTTTTATTAACACTGTGTCCGAGTATTTTTTTTTGTTTTTTTTTAAGTTTCTTTCGTTCAAACACCTGGTCTCGTTGAAAAATCATTTCAAAGAGGATAACTACACAAATATTAGTTACCCCTCCGCCATTTTAATTATTCAATAATCAAATCACGTACTTTGCTTATTTCGCATTCACCCGCTTATTTTAGTTAGTATAAATACACTTTAAAAAAAGAACTAGTATCACATGTTTCTGTTAATCTTATTAATTTGTTTTTTTGTTTCTCGTTTAAAAATCTTTTCGGACAGACGAGTGAGTAAACGACGATGATTATAAAATTGAACGAACAAAATAATAATAATGATTCATTATTCTTATCATAACTGTAAAATAAGATCAGGTGTTAAAAGATATGATACGTGAAAATTGAGATAACATTGTGTTGTAAAATATGTGTAATGTAAATAATTGTATTATTTGTTTTTACTCGTTTGTACGAAAACCAAAAACACGCACACACGCAAACTGTCGCATTCATAAAACACCACTAACGTATGATGGGATGCGATTGTTTCTCTGTCTCTCTGTGTGTTTTGTGATGACGTTTGTCGATGATGCATGGTATCGGTGATGGTGAATTTCTGGTACGTGTTCCTATTGCTTAACGTGCGGCAACGGATGATATCTCTCGCTCGCTCTATCTGAAAACTTGGCGTGTTCCGTTCCTGTTATCCTGTCGAAAATCCTGGCAGGAGGAGCGTCCTGCATGCCACGCAATCCAGTCACCGGAGATGGAGTCGACGTGACGCCATTGAGGCGCACACGAAGGTGTAGAGGTAACCTTTACATTTGCCAATATTATTTCCTCCAACCATCAATATTATTATTATCATCATTATCATCGTATTCCTTTTTCCTCACTTCATAAATTGTGCCCATTTTCTTTTTATCCTTGTCGTACCTTTTGCATTACGTTTTAAAAAAAAAAACAAACAGTCTCGTTCGAATTTGTCGCCATTTTGATTGACTCCTGCCATTTTGGTTGATTGATTCCCGCTTATTTTGTAGTAGACGGTAATTTCAAAAGTAAATTTTTTACAGTATACAAAAAAAATTGCAGCAAATAGTATTTTACCTTTTGTTTCTTTTTTTTGTAATGTGGTTTAATTTAAAACAAAATGAGAGTCGCGTAATTATTATGATTAACACCATTTTCTTTTTTTTTTTTGAGATACGCATATACATGAGTTTTAATGTAATAATTAAGGGTAAATTAATTGCGTGAATTATTTGGTGTGACGTAGCATATGAGAAAAAGTTGTTTTTTCTTTTCTATGTATCAAGTGTGTCGCTTCATTTTTTTTTTAACACTCTTTCTCTCTCTCTCTTTCTCTATCTGTTTTCAGCTCCTAATTTTCTGTTTTTTTTTTTTTATTTTTTCTTTAAATATAATATATCCTTTCATTGTCTTGAAATAAAATTATTCTCCTCGTGTGACCATTAATCTCATCATTATCCTAAACGTTATTTATAATATAAATATATAAACGTTTTCTTTTCTTTTTTAAAGATTTCCAAACGATCCAAATAGGAAGCTTCCGTATGCAGAACGATATAAAAAAAAAAAAAAACGCAACTTTGAAATATTACAAACCAAATATAATAAAAATAAATGTGAATATACAAAAGTTGACTAGAAATTGTTAGACAAATTTTCTTTATAGATGGTAATCCAGTAACTGGAACTGGGTATACGTCTGAGACGCAGAATGGAGGATCAGCGATGCAGAATGGAACAGGTAGCTCAAGTTCCAGCATAGGTGAGAAATCGAATGGTTCGTCACCAACAGGAAAACCAGCAGGAACTCGTACCCGTGTTCCACCTGGTGGATATTCATCTGGGCTTTGGTAAAAAGGGTTGTTGGATCCATCAACTTTCCAGCAAGCAACAACAGCAGCAACAACAACAACAACAACAACAACCATAACAACATCCCTTTCCATCCTAGAGCATGAACTAAAAAGACAAAATTTGGCGTGTCAATGGTTGAAGAAAGGACGAAAGAGAAGAATAAAATTATGATAATACAAACAAAATAATCAACAACCAAAATTATATAACAAACAATAACAAAAGGCTCTACTTAACCGTCTCTTATTTCGACTTTTGTCGTCAAGTTTTCTGTATCGTAGAAAAATGGATAAACAAAAGTCTCGAACAACTCCAAAAAAAAAAAAACAAAAAAAAAATTGCAGGGCAAACTAAAACACACACTAGCCATCCGAAATTAATTAGTCGTGTTTTTTTGTTTTTTTTTTTCTTTTTAAAAATAACTTGCATAATCTAGCTGGTCGTTGAGTCGAAAGGAAGAGAAAAGAAAAACTAATAATAATAATAGTAATTTAAAAAAAAAAAAAAAAAGAAAAGCAAAAATACCGTTCATTGATCGTTCAAAATTCATTTGGTATTATTCTCAGCTTATAGTTTCATACATGGAGATGATAAACTTAATCGTAAATTGCTACTATACATTATACACATAAATATATATATATATATATATATATATAGTACTTTGATAAATCCATCGGACGAGAAAAAAAAAAAACAAGGAAAATTTTGTTAATCATCCCCCTTTAATCCTTGTCTTTATCTATCTCTGTCTTCTTTTTCTCTCATTTTACCTTAAACTTAGATTTTTCAAGAAAAACAGAAACCCCAAACCCATAGTTTCCTATTTGTTATCATCATTATCATCATCATTTTCTTCTCTTCTTCCACCTTATTCTTAATTCTCGTCTAAATAAATTACATTTCGGCCTTAATGATAAAATAAAATAAAAAAAAAAAAATAAAAAAAAAAAAAACTGACGAAGGCCTGTTGCCCCCTAAAATCCATAAACCTCTCGTCGCGATCATTGTTTAGAATTAAATCTTGACTTTAATCGAGACTAAAAACTACTATAACTGAAAAAAAAAAAGAAAATCATTTCTCGATTGTAATATGATCAAAAGTAATAAATAAATAAATAAATTAATTAAATAAATTAATTAATAAATTAATTAGATCGCACAGGGCGTGGATGCGCGAGGAGAGAGGGCATAGAAATTAAAAAATAAAAATGATAAAAAAAAATAAATACTCCCTTCTCCCTGAAAAAAAAAAAAAACAAAAACAAAAAAAATAACAATAAAAAATCAACCTTATAATCTTCTCCTAAGTATAATTATAAAAGAAAAAAAGAAAAAAAAGAAAAAAAAAATAACCCAAACAAAAAAAATTAAAAAAAAAGGAAAAAGCGCAAAAAAAAAAAAAGGAAAAGGAAAAGTCGCAGAGTCGTCGCGGATTCTCTACAACCCCTTTTTCCCAATTTTTTTTCCCCCCCAAGAGAACTGTGTACTAGTACTACAATTATAGTCATGTGATAAATATCTAAAATAAAAGTACATGATGCGTTAAAACCCATTAAACCGCTATATAGTGCGTTATTAATCTCCGTGCCTTCTTAATTGTAAACTTTTTTGTGGTGCATGGAAGATAATGGTACATGCAAAAAAAAAAATAATTAGACAAAAGGGCCGATCATTCTCTTATAATTAATTAATTAATAATCGGTCTATTGATATATATATATATAGATATATTATATCCAATGAGTTTGCATGTTATAATAATATTGACGAATTTTTCAATTGAAATGAAGTATACGTAAAACGATATCATCAATTCTTCTACGTATTTGATTATTTATATATGTAATACACAATGCTATTAATTATTATTATTATTAATATTATTATTATTATTATTATTATTATTATTACTATTATTATAATTACTATTATTACATTATTTGTCTTTTTTACCGCAATTGATTTCCTTCTAATTCAGGGCACGCATTTAGAATTTCATATTTGAGTATATTTTACGAATAGAAGAAATATTTTCTTTTTCCTCTGCCGTTGATATCCATGTAACGCATATTCCTTTTCTGCTTTTTATAATATATATATATATATACATATATATATTATAAATATATATTCTCATTCGTATTGGAATATATTAGCGGATTATTATTAACTAATATGCAAATATTTCTTCTATTATGTTTTATACTCTTCTTTCCCTTTCTATCTTTTTCTTCATCCTTCATCTAGTTTTCTGTTTTTTTTTTTTTTTGACAATTCTTATTTCACTACAATATTTCACACATACTACATGTGTTGTATCGTTTCTTCTTCTTCTTCTTCTTCTTCTTCTATTCACCAAGATATATTTTTTTTTTTTTTTAATGCAATCGTTTGGTGTGAGCAAAGTTTATATCATTTGTAATGCATCGTAATTAGTCATGAAGAAAAAGCCTTTTTGTATTTTGGCATTGATTAATAAAGTTTTTGTAAGCAATAATTATTCTCTTTACAAGTGATATTCTTATTGTTTAATCAATTTTCTCATAGGTGTTCAATTATTATTGGTTTATATTATTTTAGGTACATCTCTGTCAAAGAAACTGCATTTTAATGTTGCAAACAAATTGATCTTTTAATAATTATCATTCCTATTGTTTTAAAAACTATTCATACATAAAAGTATAAAGTTCCTGAAATTATATAATCATTCGTACACATACATAAAATATAAAAAAATAAACTCCAGTAACACACATGAGGCATATTTGGTACCAAACAATTTATTGAGTAAAAAAATATAACAAATACGATTACAATTTAATTTATTTATGCAAAAAGTGTTTTAAATAGAACGACAAATTTCAAATAAAAAAAAAAAAAAAAGAAATAATATAATATAAGGTACGAGAAGTAATAGGAAAGTATGCAAATGATTGAGTAGACAAAATGAACATATTCGCGACAAGAAATAATTATAAATAAATTCAAAGTTACGTATACTTGTACTTGTGTATCACATTACTTCACAAGATATTGGTTATTTCTTGTAGCAAATCTTTTTTTTTTACGCGATATACATTACACATATATTTAATACCTTTTTCTTGATCATTTAAATAATTCATTCTTCATTTTGTTTTCTGTTCGTTTTTAAATACTTGTAATAAGAGTTCTTATCTCAGATTCGTTAGCTTTACAAAGACTAATGAAGAGATGTTTATTAATAGTTTCTTGTTCCATTCTTTTAGCAATTTCACGTGATCTGTTTGTAATAGCAAGTGGAATACCAGCCAATCTTGCTGCATTAAATCCATAAGACTTTGGACAAGCACCTTCACTGAGTTTATACAAAAATGTAACAGTTTCTTGAGATACTTCTTCYTCTTCTTCAGTTTCTACCATACATGCCTAAAAATATTAATTTTACAGAGATGATACTTACTTTGAAATATTCTATAATAATTGAATTAAAAATTGAATTATATTTTACCATGTGAACCAATGTTACGTCCGGATTGTTTTTGTAATCTTCTACCAATGAATGATAATGCGTTGAAAATAATGTACGACATTTTAACTTTGTCAGTTCGTTAACAACTGACGCAGCTATTGCTGTACCATCGTATGTTGAAGTACCACGACCTAATTCGTCTAACAAAACTAAAGAATAAGGTGTGGCGTGTTTTAATATAGCAGAAGTTTCCGTTAATTCAACCAGGAATGTACTTTGGCCAGCTAGAATGTCATCGTTTGCTCCTAATCTTGTAAAAATACGATCTACCAATGTTAGATTACATGAACTTGCTGGTACGTGACAACCCTAAAAAGATTAAAGGACAAAATTAATTGTACAATTTGTGATTAGTTTATTCTGAAAATATTAAATTGATAGGCAAGGCAAGACTTACAATTTGTGCCATGATCGTTAACAATCCTATTTGACGCATCAGAGTAGATTTACCTCCCATATTTGGACCAGTTAAAATAATTACCGAAGCTGTCTGATCTTTAGCGATTGAAGTATCATTGGGAATAAAGTTATCTGATAATATACACGGATGCTTTCCATCTTTGATATCGATGAAGATCTGATTCATACATCATTTACAAATAATAATCAATTGATTTTTTATATTTAAAGTTTATTTTAATTATATTTTGATAGAGGATATACTTCTACTTACTTCACCCTCGTTTACGTCATGAATTTCTGGAATGCACATATCACCGCTATGAGCATATTCAGCAAGAGATATGAGAACATCTAAAATAGCTATTTTGTGAACAGCCATATGCCACATGTCATACTTCTCACTAAACTTTGCGAATATTCGTCTGTTCAAATCCTTCAAAACTTTGTCTCTGGTTTCCTCAACACTCGTTTGTCTTGCCAAAAGTTCCTACAAAAAAAAAAGAAAGAAAACAATATTCATTGGTTAATTTTGTAACTGTGGCTTATGATAGAAAACTTAAAACATGCGATTGATTTCAACTTACTTTTGCTTCAGCGGTATAGTAACGTTTGAAACCTTTACGTTGGGATGCTAATTCATATCCCGATCCAACTTTTTTTATTTGAGAATCTGGAACTTCAATTTGAAATCTTTTTCTATCATGACCAAAGAATGTTACCTTAACACCAAAATGTTTTCTTTGCTTTGCTAAGTAAGCATCTAAATCTTCCTTTATTTCATCCATCTGAGATAACACTGAGTCATATTCGTCGTCCACTCCTTTTTTAGGTACGATACATCCCTGTTTCTTTGCTTCCTCGTGATCGAATGCTGTCTACACATGAAATATTTTATTATATTGGTGTTAAAAAGAAAATGAAATGTTGAAATATTTATCTCGTATAATTTAATTTACTTTAAAATAATCAAGGGTCTCTCTCAAATGAGGAAATTCTCCTTCTGGTTCGAATTTGGTACACCGACTTATCAAATTGGTTTTGAAATCTGTGAATAAAAATAAAAATGTATTAATGTGTAAAGTATAATAGAATTAATATTTAGTATTGATTAAGTATTTGAACTTTGAATAACATACCAGAACACAAATCAATAATTTCCAATACTTTTTCAAATCCATTTAAAGTTGTAATAAAATCCATAATCTTTCTTTTCGAGTACGTCTGACCCTCAAACATTATTGCTCTTCCTTCAGGATGATTCCATAATTTAGCTTTATTACCCAATGCGTGTATTCTACAAATTACATTTATATAAATTCAATCAAAATAATGTTAGTGATAAATGTGTAATGAAATATTTTCAATATCTCACTTGCTTAATAATCTTTCTAAATCTGGAAGATTCGACAACACTGATCGAATAGACTGAACTACATTAACATTTTCTATTAATTCTTGTATAGCCTCTTGACGCTCTTTTATAATATTTTTACGACAAGATGGTCTGCATATCCATTCTCGTAACAACCTGTATTTATTAAATTCAATGTAAATCAAGCAAATATTATAAATAATATACTTGTTTTTTTTGTTTACCTTTTACCAAATGCAGTAGCACAATAATCCAATGTTTTCATAAGAGAACCTTCTCCAAAAATTCGTAGATTGTTGATTGTAATAGCATCCAATACCTGATCAAAATTAATTTGTAAAAAAAAGAAAGAAACAAGTTTGATATACTTGAATAGGTATTTAAAATACGAACCATATTGTTCATGAGTTTTATTTCTGTACGTTCATCACCATTGAAGAAATCAGGTGGTACATATGTTTTAAATTGTGCCTGTGCCAATAATTGTTGATCGAGTAAATACTCTTTAAGTAAATAAATGCATCCTCCAAGAGCACGTACTGCTAATTCTTTATCTTCGGAAGGAGTTAAACCCAAACTATCTCCTTCACTTAAATAAGGTTGTAAACCTTCGGGCCAAACAAAATTTGAATCTTTCTCTTTTTTAAAATATTCACCTTCGTGAAGATATTTCAACGTGTTAGCAGCAGTCCAAAATTGTACATCGCGTTGAAGAGACTCCTTGTAGGCAGCTGCCATCGAATTATTTAAAATTTTCAATACGGCTGGTGATAAATTTCCGCGTTCATAGACAATATGGACTGGTGGATAATGTGCAAATAAAGTCAATAGTCTGGAATTGTAACAATCATCGACAAATTCTCCAAGATGAAAATCACCGATGGTGGTATCTATGAAACATACTCCAAAACTGCTGTTTACTCCTGATTTACATTTTTGAACCAAAGAGAGAAGATAATTAGAATTAGGTGTAGATACGTCAACATCCAAAGGAGTATGAACTCTAGTACCCTTTGTACTTATTTGACAAATCTCACGTTTTACAACCTTGTCGTATTTGGTTACTTTGGACATTTTACTACAACGTTGTGTCATCATGTCTGGTGTTTCAGTTTGTTCAATACGTGCAATCTTATATCCTCTTTCAATAAGACTCGTTGAAAAACGTCCATATCCAATTTCTGGGAAACCAGAATGTGCAAATTCTCCACGCATGTATGTTAGATTAAGTTCATTAACTCCAGTAACTGCATCCATGTGATACAATTCGTAGAACTTTCCAACTTTGAAAAATAGAACACAATCAAAGTGTTTGCTCTTGAGTTCCCACCACTGTCTCATGGCAGGTGTCTGATTGTTAAGGAATTCCAATGGTACGTAAACAGTTCTACAATCATAGTTTGGATCGGTTGGTGGTCTTTTATTAATATCCCTTCTTTTATTAGGTTGAAGGAAATCATATTTTAAGTGAGGCCATGAATCTGCTGGAATAGCAGGTGCACTTGTTGATTGTTCCTGAGATTGTGGTGCAGAAACTGATTTTATTTCTTTTTTCACTACTTGTTTGGGTGTTCCTTTTTCTTTACGTGAACCCCCCTTGGCAATTACAGACTTCTTTGGTTTTTTCTAAAATATTAAAGAACATTTATTTTTAAAAAGAGAAATGAAAACTTAAACTTGCTTTACTAACCTCAGGAGTTTCTTCATCTTGAGTTTCTATTTCACTTTCTGTAACACCTTCAGATAACTCAGTTTCACTATCTTCATCTGCTGAATCTAAAATATATTTATAAAATATAAATGACTTGATAAACAATAGAAAATTGTTATAAATAAAATGAATATGTACCAGGTTTGAAACTATCACCAGAATCTTCACCAGAATCTTCTTCAGGTATAATAATTCTACGTCGTTTGGGTTGAACTGGTACAATTTCTTCATTTTCATCTGATTCTTCATTTTTCCAATTTCTTTTGCGTATATCAATTTGACGATTTTCTTTTTCTTCTACTTTTTTTTGTTCTATAAAAAGGTAGGACATTGTGCATTCTTAGTCCATCATCAACAAAGAGATTTATATTGTGCCCAATAATTATTTCAATTTCTTACAATATAAATCAAATAATAGTAGAATTTATAATACTGAATATATAATGTAAATAAATAAATGTATTAATAATTTAAGGAAATTGATCTAAGGAAATATTTCAGCTTACAAACCTTTGTTCTTTCGTCCACTTTTCGGTGTTCCTGGCGTTGCAGCATTTGTACTTTTATTGTCTTTATTATCTTTATTATCTTTTTGTTTAACAGTCTTTGGTGATATGAAATAATTGTACAATGTATTTACTTTAGACATTTTGTTCTATTGTTAATAGTTAGAAAATTAAAATAGAAAATTTCTTAGACATTAATCGTTCGCTTCTAATTCTCACGACGCTCTCATAGTTCTCTTCCGACCACACAAGGAAAAAATCGCGGCAAAATTTTGACCATTTCTATGATGTAATACCTGATCGATCAGACAGATTTTTCCCTAGAAAAAATAGAAACAAAATATACATTTATTTAACAATTATATTTGTATAAAACATTTCGTAATATTTATTTAAAAAATAAATCATCAATAAAGGCTTTCGAAAAATAATGAGTTACAATAACAAATGTTTAATATTTTTATTTTCATCATTTATGACATATAAATATTAAATAGATTGTGTCTATTACATTTACATATATATGGAGATCATTTGTATAAAAATTTATAATAATCATTCAAATTTTTGTATTATTTTTCAATTTTCTTAATGCACTTGTTTGCACGTTTTTTAACTCTATTTAAATTCTATTGGGTTCCCGCCACTCGTATAAATCTATTCCTCGTCGAATCAAAATGCAGATCTTTTTCTTCGACCAATCAGATCTCAGTCACGATGACAATTTGCAAATAAGCGAATAGTTTTTTGTATTATCGAATCCTAGTTTCATTAAAATTAATAATAAGCATCTATATTTTGTCATTGGTTGAAAGATGGAATAATTTAGAACGGAGAGCTAGCTATTGGTTGAAATTTACGAAAGTTCGATTGGTTTTAACTACTATCGAGAGAAAGCACAAAATCGATAGTATCGATACTATCATGTCCTTTCTCAAAGTACACTTCATGCCCTACGTATTCTGAAGTTAACCAAGTGGGCTGGCGTGGTAGTTTCCCAATTGTATTTCTGATAATCTTCGCTACAATCATGTCTGCAGGTAAATATATTCGTTAGAACACCTTATCTACATAATTCTTTATATTATTTTTTATAGATTAACCTATTTAAAGTTTCCTACGCAACGTTAAAATGATTTTAAACGAACCTAACCAAACTTTGTATAAATTGCACCATGCTTTCAATATTGTACCATATACCATTAACGTCACATTTTATATATTTCAAATGTCAAATTAATTTATTTATTCAGGTAAAAAAGGTAAAAAGAAGAAAAATTGTAAAACCGTCGATTTAATGTCATTTTTGGCTGATGGTGGTGGAACCCCTACCATACCTTTGAAGTCTACGAGTTGGGCCGATGATGTCGAAGATGAGCATGGTATACGAACATTATACATTTATAATAGATCATTGTCATATAATCTGTCAAAGATAATTTCTTTTTTTATTTTTATTTTTTGCATATATATGCATATATAATAGATATTAATTATATTTTAATTTTCTGCTAATTTTGGGATATAATTGAAAGATAGTAAAATGCTCAAATATTAAATCCCAAAGTTTAATGTCAACTAGATAAAGAAATTTGTATGACTCATCCAGCCAATAAAGATAAAACAATGGCTAATCAATAATTCAATTAATTAAATGATATGAAATAAAGTGAAAGTTTTTTTTTTTTTTTTTTTAATTCCATTGTGTAATGAATTATTTTTGTTGATGGTTTTTTTCTTCTATTTTATAGAAGGTGGATATACTTCAAGGAGTAATAAAGAACCAGTTGTTTTGCCTACTGCACCTAGAGCAGCAAGAGGTTCACGTATCGATGAAGAAAATATTCCTACAAATCCTCCTTTTGTTGCATATGTAACTAGTTTACCTTATGAAGTAGATGAGGATGATCTTTTTGAATTTTTTGCTGAAATGAAGGTTCATTGATTTTCTTTTTATTAACAAATTAATTTTCAATTGATTTATTTGATTGATTTTGTAATTTGAATACTTTTTAGGTGTCTAGCGTGCGTTTACCTAAAGATCCAAACAAACAACTTAGAGGATACGGTTATGTTGAATTTGAAGACCGTCAAAGTTTAATTGACGCTCTTTCAATGACAAATACTGTAAGAAAAACAAATAAAATATCTTCTTTTAATATTCGAAATAAATAAACAAATAAAATTTTGGATATTTGTAGACTATGAAAACTAGGCGTATTCGTATTGAAGTTTCAAACAGCAGTAACGATGAACGACGTGGTGGTCGTTTAGGTAGAGACAATCGCAGGGATACCTACGATGATCCTGAACGTACTTCTGGGGATTGGAGAAGTAGGCCTAGGGATGAACCCGCAGGATCAGAAGGTGGTGATACTTATCGTAGACCTTATGACAATAGGGAAAGAGAGAGAGAAAGAGAAGGTAATAATAAATAAATTTTTTCAATACATATTTTGTGTCTTACTTGAAACAACAAAGAAATATGTTTTTCAAAATTGTCTCTTATGTTTATTATAGTTACTGATGATAAGCCTGGAGCATGGCGTAATAGAAGCGAAGATGACAGAGGAAGATCTGCCTTCAAGGATAGAGGTTTTAGGGATGACGATAGGGATAAGGAATGGTCACGTTATGGTGACAGAGGTGGTAGTAGAGATAGAGATGGTGATAGAGATAGAGATAGAGGTAGCAGYTTTGGTCCACGTCGCGATTATGGAGATTGGGAACGTGATGGTCGTAATAAAGATGGAAAAGGAAATTTAGAAACAAAGCGTAAGTTAATTGAATATATTATATTGAAACTATTAATATTTATATATTTCATTTTGTTTAATGTATATATTTATTATATATTCAATTGTAGCCACTGAAACACGAACCAGACCAAAGTTACAATTGCAGCCTCGCACTAAGCCTATTGAACCGTTAAATGTTAAAGAAGAAAAATCTGAATCGACAACTACATCTACTTCCACCTCATCTGCACCTGCTACTAATATTTTTGGTGCAGCTAAACCCGTCGATACTACTGCCAGAGAGAGAGAAATAGAAGAACGTCTCGCTAAATCATACGCAGAGTCAAGATTGAAGGAAGAAGCGTAAGCTTCTGTTATATTATTTTTAAACTATCATTTTACAAATGTTTCTAATTTTGTTTAACAATTATTCTTCTTTTAATCTTTCCAATTAACAGAGAAAACGAAAAACGCAAGGAAGGTACATGGGGTCGTCGAAATGGAGTGAGTTTTGTTTTATAAACAAATTTGATTTACTTTTTACGAAACATTAAACTAACATGAATTTTCTTTTATTAGGAGGATCGTGATGATAAAGAAAAGGATAAGAGTCGTGAAACCTGGAGATCAGATGCAGATAAAAAATGGGCTGACAAATCAACGACATCATCTCACAGTCAGCATTCGACTACTGCGCGTTCTGGTATTTTTCTCTTTGCATTTAAAAAAAGCAACTAGTTCTAGTTTCTATAAATATTTTCGCTAAAGAGAAACAAACACACCGGATACAATTAAGCATACTGTTTGTATGTCAGATCAACATGGAGATTCTAGAGCGGATTCCAAAGGAGATTCCAAAGGAAGTTCCAAGGGGGATTCCAAAGGTGATTCGAAAAATTCCAATTCTCGCAGTGGTCCGGCACCAACGAAAAAAACTGATAATCGTGGATTGGATAAGTAATTATTATTATTATTATTATTATTACATTTACATTTTGTACGATATGTTTTTCATGAGGAGGGTGTGTGGTTTTTATTATTAAAATAAATTCTAGCAGGGAACGAAAGGATAGAGATAAGGAGAAGGATGAACTCGATAGAATGCCCAAGGCAAAAGACGAAAAAGCTCCAGTGAGTAGAATACATATTGTTTTTTTTTTTTTTTTTTTTAATATTGTTACATATATTAAAAAATGTATATATAATGTAAATTCCATTTCAGAATTTTGTCGTTTCCAACAAGTATTCCATGTTACCTGATGACGCGGATCCAGACATAATTGAAGATTAGTCGTATCATCATAATTTAACATGCCACAACGGGCATGCTAATTGGTCTATATGCATATATTACTAATGTTTGATTTACAATTAAAACTACGTATCCCACATTCATTCACAAAGCAAGAAGGCATATTCTTCTCTTGGTACTATTTTACAGGAATTATTGTTGATTTATATATATATATATATATATATATTATATATATATTTAATCTATTTTATTATTCCGAATATAATTATCAATCTTCTTCTATTTGTGTATTTGATTTATATTTAATAATATTAATGAGTACTTTTTATGTCACTAAATCAACGTGGAAAAGTTTTCATATTATTATATTTTTAAAAAAAGGAATTATTATTTCAATACCTCATGCATACATATATATATATATGTATATATATATATATATGTAATATAATAATTCTATAAATATTGCATTTTCATGAAATAGGAATTGGGATTTTATTTGTTGTAGAGTTGTTGTACATTGTATCTTATTTACAATATAATATATCAATACTGATACAGTTATGCCAGATGCTGTGTTATTATAGTATTTTTTACGATACAGTACGATGTTTTTTCATGTATCATCTATAAAAAAAAGAAAAAAAAGAAAATCGAAGTAACAAAAGATGAAACACCTTTGTCAATCGAATTAACTTTGTGCTACGTACGCTGTACTCGTTGTATATCAAATTCAAATTATAATATAACAAGGAATTATCACATTGGAGAAAATAATATTTATGTTCACATACACATATATATATATATATATTTTAAAGTTTTATTACATCATCTTTTTGTTTTTTTTTAATTGATCATTTTACCTTGCCTCTACTTTGTATAAATTAAACTAAAATTCTCTCTTTTGTTTTTTTTTTTTAATAATATTTTAGTACAATAAATTAGTTAATATTAATGAAACTTATAAAGGTAATGCACGGTCTTTTTTTTTTTTTTTACAGAACTGTGCAAAAAGTTTTCATACGTCTTTATATATATATATATATATATATAATATTATATACAAAAGTATTAACTTGATATATTATATATCAATTTTAGTCGGTCATTATTGTTGAGTAGTCTGTGCCAATTGACGCAATTGCTTTAACACAGTTTCCAACAATTTTTTCTTATCCCTTTCGCTTTTTTTCAATACGGAAAATACCGTTTTCTTATCGGATTCTTTAAGTCTGTAAAAAGAGTACACGTCGTATTAATATTAATACATATTCGATGATAAAAAAAAAAGAAGAGTTATACTCTCGGTTACATACTTCTCTAATAAAATCACAGCCATATTTGGTGTTACTAAGTTATATTTGCTTGAATCATGACCGTAGTCATGAAAGTAGGTTGGCCAATCCCAACCCATGAACAAGTCTAGCAATTGTCTTAATTGACTGAAGTATTGCAATAATGTACCTTCTGGTAAACCGACAATAGGTTCTGAAGCAGCAAACTCTGTAAAATGTAATCATTATATATACATATATATATATATAATAATTGCTTACTATTAAATAAATTGAATCTGTAAATACAAATACATACGTTCACATTGTATTGTATCCAAATTGACTTGTTGAAGTGCACCCATTGATATTTGTTTTACATCTTCGCTGATTAATATATCTAATATAGCTTTTGCTATATGATCGCAAGCCGATTTACATGCAACTTGTGCAACTTCATCCTAAAAGTTTACAATGATACACATTTATTAAATAGAAAATTGTTTATGAATTTGTTTACATTAATATATATATATATACATTCTTTTTTTTATATATACGTACTGGTAAATTAGTAAAACATGTAAATGTACTTTGTAAAAATGCTATGAGATCTGTAATGAATCCAGAAGCATGGCCTTGAGGTTCTGACAAATTCCAATCATAATTTTCTAATTCTAAAAATTCGTCGAGCTTCTTTTCAAGTTTTTCACATATTTGTGTTTCTGCATCTTCTCTGGCTACTCTAAACATGGCAGATTTGTCACCGACACAACTTAATTGTCCTTCGTGTTGTGTTCTGTAAGAATATAAAAATGAATCATTCTTTGAAATTGAAATTGAATTGAATGATGTTTGTTAAAATATTTCATTTCTACCCAGTAATATTGGTAACAAATTCTTCCAAATATTTTGTAGATTTTTCTAAATAGCCCATGTTTATTATAATTTGAACAACTTGTAAAAGAGCTAATGATGGTTTTCGAAATAATGACGACAAACATCCGCTAAATGTTCTCGTTAAAAGTAAATTAGTCGATTTGCAAATCATTTCGTCTATTTCTGCTTGAGTAAAATTAAGATCCTCGGAATATTTTAAACAAGCATAAATGAATTCTTTAACTTGTTGATAAACTTTTGGTACCATGGCTGAAAATGGAAATTTTTTCGGAAAATTTGTCGCTTTTTGTAATTCCTCGTCATGATATGGAAAAGAACTAAGAATGCTTTCAAATTCTGCTTGTGACGTGACCTGTAATTAATTAACTCATTTGTGATATATGACCTATAGATGTATAATGATTTTTATTACTCAAGTAATCAATCATACCTGTAATGGTAAAAAACTATCCTCGTCTAAAATATCTCGAAATACTTGAACCCAATGTTGCATAAGAACTTCATTATAATGTACACGAATTTCTTGTAGTAAATCCCAAAGTTGTCCAACAGGATATCCATAATTCTAAATTATTATTATTACTATTAATCATTTATTATATAATTTTTATAAATTATTAGACATGTTGTATCACAAATGTTACTTACACTCAATGTCGTGTTAAAAAGCATTATCAAGTTTTTTATTTTTAATATTAACGTTGCATCTGTACAATATGCCTAGAAAAATTGAACAATTAATTAATGAATTATTCATATTTTTAAGGTTAATAGAAAACTTACCGAATGCGTTCTAAGTGAATTGACTATTTTAGATAAAGCCATAGTCCATAATTCTTCTAAATAAGAATGAGTAACTAATCCATTACTTGTATTTAAGATATGATCTTCCACCACAAAAAAGCCAACGAGACTATGTAAATAAGCCTGATATCCAATCAAACTTTCATGCTAAATATACAAAATATTAGAATTGTTTATATGTTGTGATAAGAAATATAATTGATAGAAATGGTGTATGTACATTAATTACCATATTAATAGGAGGTTGCAAAACAAGTCTAGCTTGTTCCTTTCTTTGGTTTCTATAATAACTCTTGAATTTTTCACCTTCACTAAGGACAGTGTAAATGTGCATGCAACGATACACCGGACTAAAATCCATCAAATCTTGAGCACTTAATTCTTCCTCCCCGTCACTTGATTCAGAATTTGTATGTAATTTTTTCTTTTTACGTCCAACAATCTCAGCTTCGATAACCAATTGTTCAGCGGTCTATTTCAAATGTAAGACACATATTATTTATTACATTAATAACATTGATATCACAATATGATTTAGCTTACATGTCGCATAGCAACCTCTCCAATTTTTGGCGAATGTTTTCTTATATTTTCAAGAAAATCTCGTAGATCCCACATGGAAGCATCTTTTATGTTTTCACGCAATCTATAAATTTGTATTAAAGAGTTATGAAATTATTTTGAATATGTAAAGTATTGACAATTGCTGTAATACTACCTACTCTGGAATTTGTTGAGTTATTTGGGAAGAGAATCTGTAATTAGTAACTTTTGGAAGGTCATGGTGTTCAAGTTGTTCGAGTGTTTTTAAAGCTGGATAATAACGTTTGTCTTTCAATTGTTTTTGTAGTTTAGCGTATGCTGCCAAAACAGGAAGGCACATGGTGAGACTATTTACAGCGGCTGCCATGTTATTTTCAACTTTACGTGCCCGTACAAGTTCTTCCGCTTTTTCAATGACCTTACTCGAAGTAGCAGTTATACATTTGTCTAGTTCTAATATTTCTGCCTGTATAGTTAACGACAACCTTAGCCAAGTTATGCAACTAATGCATAAGAGATATATTTGATGGAAAAATTGAAAGAAAACATAACTAACGTTAAGTTGTTGCGCTTGCGAACGAACTTGTAAAAGTTCACGAATTGAGTCGATGAATCCTTGATAATGATGATTACACAATCTTTCAATATCCTTGTCATGAGCTTTGATCCGTTCATCGAGTTTCTCCTGAAATTTTTCATGTTCATTGCCATCGTAAATAGCCCTGTAAAAAGTAAATACGATTAATGAACAAATGAGGATTTTGTTAACAAGTTAAACAAACATTAACAGTATTACCTGATAATTAGGCTTATACTATTATTGTTTGATGTTTCTATTTCGTATAAAAAATGTTCGTGCTTAGTTGCAACGCTCGATAAAATATTTTGAATTTGAGCGACCGATAATTTTGACATATTATATTATATTATATTATATTATTTTACTTCATTTTCTTTTCATCCCCCTTAGCATGCGCTCTTATTTCCACCCTTTCATTGCGCATATGCAATAGTTGGACCTTGCATCTGCGTAAAAGGGGTGGTTTTCCTGAGCGGGTTTTTTTCAATAGAAATTCAATGACATTTAATGCAACCCTTAATAAAATAAACATACCGAAAAGTAGGTCCTAAATAATCATCAATAGCTTCTATTTCCTGTATAAGGGCGTCGTAACGTTGCATTTTTATTTCACTACTTTTTCAATATTTCATTTATTCCAAGAATTATATTACATTTGATTATAACAAAATGTCATCCTAACCTAGAAATGATTGTTCATTGACGTTTTCAGTAAAAAAAAAAAAATCTATACAGCGTAGACAGAAATAAATAATAAATATGTCAAGAATTTATCAAATTTAAAACCACCCATATACGACGATCCTGATCGTTCGAAGCGCCATCTAGTAAAAAAAAAGATTAAACAATTTTATTTTGGTACCCCATTTGGATCTTTTTATAGTTACACTCCTGAATCATGAAAATGCACCCCTTGGAATTTTTGTCACGATACATTCCTGAACATGTTTTTGTTGTTAACAGACGTCAATTTAACGTTTGAAATATTTACAAATGTTAAGAATTATAATGGCAGATAAGAAATATTTTCATAATCAAGAATATAATAAATTAAGGTTATGTTATTATTATTACAAAGAATTGTTAWACGTAAAAAGACATGTCACGTTGTTCATTAATTATAAAGTCGGTTTTGTAAGATATAATTGTTAACATTTGTTATTTAAATTTAAAAGTCTTATTTATTTATTTATATATTTTCCATTTGTCACGTGCTCTGTACAATTTACAATGACTAATTATTTAACTTGAATAAAAAGATTAGTCAAAGAAGGAAATACGTTGGAATGAACCTTGGAAAAACAAATATATTTTTGAAATGACATAAAACTTTACCACAAATATACATTGATACATAATAATTAGTTGAAAGTTATTTAAACACAGTATATCATTGGAATATATATATATATATATATGCAATATTATTTCATAAAAGATTTACTTAGAAAAATACATATTTATATTAACATGTGTTTACAATTGAAATGAATTAGCCAATAATCCATTGACTCCTAAACCTGTTACTTCAAATACAGAACCAGCTTTAGGTTGTTGTTTTTTCTCTTCCTCTGATAATCCATAACTTGATGTGGTAACATACAAACTTTGTAAGTTGGGTCCTCCAAATGCAACACTTGTTACTCTTTTAGCTGGAAGTCTGATTATACGTATTAATTTTCCAGTTTTTGGGTTCACATTAAGCACCTAGACATGAGACGTATTAATGATAACAGATGTATTACTAATTAAATCAAATAGTTGTTAGATGTTTTAGTAATTTCATATTAATTAGTTATCTTTACTCACAGAAGAACCATTAAAAACTGCTATCCAAAGATTACCATCTGTGTCTATAGTCATACCATCTGGAACCCCTTCGGTAATGTTATTTTGTTCCAAATCAAATACAATTCTTCTATTAGCTAAAAACGATAACAAAATGAACGTCAAACTTGTGTATTATTATTTAACGTCTCTAATAGAAATCTTGAAATATTTAATTACATATAGTTCCAGAAATGGGTTCGTAATCGTATGCAGCTATTTTACGAAGAGGTGAATCGATATAATAAAATGTATCATCTTCTTTGTTCCATGCTAATCCGTTGCTTATAGAAACAGGTGATATTTCAACGCGAGGAACAAAATCTTTTCCAATACGATAGAATGATCCTTGATTGGGTTCAACCTCACCATTTACTTCTGGACCCATGGTACCTGTTCCAAAAATTTCTTTTTATTAATACAATTCTATTAATTGCAGATTATATTTAAATACCAACCGCCCCAAAAACGTCCAGATGAGTCAACTTTGCCATCATTCCATCTATTGCCTTTGTGTTCTTTATCAACGACAGACAAAACTTTAGTAGAAGATGAAGTTAAATTAAATTCCGAATCCCATGAAATTGAAATAAAATCAAGACCAGCACCCGCTACAAATTTATTAGCATCATCCTCAACGGGTATGGCTACTCCAACTGGACCATTTGCTAAAAACAAAAGAAAATCATTTATAACAATTGTTCATCTATTGTTTTTTTATAATTAAATTGTATTAATTTGTTATTACCTATGTATGTATGTGTAACAGAACCGGTAATAGGATCTAATCTGCATAATAATTGGTTCATAATATCAACAAAGAATAATTTTTGAGATCCATGATCCCAATGAGGCCCTTCGGAAAGTCCAAATGGTTTAGTTACCGCTTTAATTGTAAACCCGGGGGTATTTTCAGTAATTACAGGTACATTTTTGCTATATATATATAAAAAAAAACAACTTAAATTATTGTAACTATTGTAATTATTTAGATATGAAAAATGGTATTACAAATGTGTACAAGAAAATAATAAAAACCAACTGATTAGATAATAAGAATAATAATGTTGATAAACTGGACATGGTAATACCTACAAATTTGTTTTTACGAATGTCGTAACAAGGTCGAATAATATATAAGGTTATCAAATGGAATGAGAAAAAGAAAAGGAATGCGGACTTGCATCTTTAAATCAATTAAATGAAGTCGGAAAAATGATAGAAAAATGATTACACAAGTTCTACGAATGTTCGATATTAATGAAGAATTATGTAAGAAGGAAATATTTACCAAGCCATTTGAGAAAGAACAAAAAAGAAAATAACTGATTATTACAAATATATTTGAACAAAAATAATCATTAATTGTTTAATAAAAAAAAAAATAGGATACAAAAGTAAAATGTTTAAAGTGTTATTTAAAAAAAAATTATTATTAAATTTGATAGAAAAAAAATGGACGACGAATAAGATGAACGTTTCCGTCCTATCACGAATAAAGCCGTCTTCAAACTACTTGTTGCCACTCCTCAGATATCACGTTTAACTTCAATTTAATCACATCTTTACATTCTATGTAATTGGAAGCGCGTCTTATATATATTTTATGATAATACGTTTCGTGATTATCAAACTGCATATTAATCATCCGCTATTTCAAATCTTTTTATTCATTATGAAATATTTTTTCAATTCTTTTTCAAATGGTCACGTGTTTACTTACATATTTTTGAACAAAATATAATTTGTAAATAAGAAAATGAAAAAAATTAAAGATTAAAATCATTATTATTATTATTATTATTATTATTCGAATATTTTAGTAGACTTTTGTATGAGACATTCGATAAATTAGAAAGTATAAATTCCAAAGAGTTTAGAAACACGCGATTAGGTATTGAAACAAGTTTATGATGATTTTTTTTTTAATGTTCAAATATAATTGTAAAATAAAATTGAATCTTTTTTTACTTACCGATGATGTGTATGATGTGAATGACGTGCAAAAGTTGAAGAAATCAAAATTAGATTTAAAAAAAGATAAAGAAAATTGTTGAACATAATGATCAAGAATTGATGTTTTCGATGTAACAATAACTTGAGAAAGTGATCAAGGACTACGAGCTTGTTGATGGTCGTGTGGCAAATTAAGAGGAGCAAAACAGAAAGAATGCTAAAATAAATATATTCCTTGTCCTTATATAGAATTTGACGTTCACCTCGTTAAATCGAAACTTAGAAATAAGCTTGTTGATCAACTTGATAGCGCGTAAAATCAATATTTTACGAAACTCCTTGAATATTAAATTAAACATATTATCTTTCCTACATTATTTGCATTTTTCATATACTTTTATTATTGTTAAATAACAAGACAAATTGTTAAGGAAAAAAAAACACATATTTCTTTTTTTCCTATTTTATATTCGACAACCATTTTTCAAAAGAACAATTCTAATTTAACTAAACCTATTGTCTAATATATCTAATATATTCTTTTTTACTTTATATATTTATTTTATACAAAATTATTCAATTTTTCTATGAAATATTTATTTCATTTCTATGAATAGAAATATAATATAATAATACCATATATAATATATATATATATTCATTTTTACGATATAAAAAATATTGACATAATGATTATAAAACATTTGGAAAGTTGTTCAACTGTCTAAAATGATATTAGTAAATATACTTTGTTAAAAGGGGGATTTTTACTCAAACAAAATTGAAAACATCGAAATATTCAATTTGAATGAGGTCAAATATACGCGCCATATGTACAAACAATTATTATTCGGTGCGCATGCGCCAATAAAATCATTCAGTGCGCATGCGCCAATAAAATCATTCAGTGCGCATGCGCCAATAAAATCATTCAGTGCGCATGTGCAAATAAGATTATTCGGTGCGCATGTGCAAATAAGATTATTCGGTGCGCATGCGTGAGGAGTATGTGGCACCATCCGTCGTCAGATGAGGGAACCCTGTAGTCTCGCGGCCAACATCATCATGTCACGTGACAGCGGCATATTGATACGTGTCGTCCAAGACAGCCACGACTCGCAACCGCTTGCCAGTTTAAGCCTACGCGGCCACCTTTATTCGAGTCTTCTTGTTTCGTGTGTGAGTGTTAAACGGTGTTGTTCTTAAGATCCGTATTAAGATCATCCGTTATTTCTACTCTCGAAGATTGGTATTTTTTAGTGAAATAACCTTACGGAATTAAAATGGGATGTGAGTATAAAACATTGAATTATTATTAATTACAGTAATAATTTATTTTCATAAAACAAATTACCGCTATTTGAGTTTATTGGTAACCTCCCCTTATGACTTATAATAAAATAACATATTGTTCATACGAGAAAAAAGTTTTTTATCTATTACTTAACTTTAATATACGATACGTTATTTATTTATTTCTTACATGTTTATTTGATGATTTTTTAGTTAAATTTTTGGAGGTGATAAAACCATTCTGCAGTATACTACCAGAAATAGCGAAACCACAGAGAAAGGTAAGTTTTCATGAATCTATTCATATATATCTTACATTTATATCTGTCTAATCGTAAACGTCATACCTTATATATTTTTATATCTTAAGAATTAAATCCACGTTGCATTATATTGTAATACATACATGACAAAAAAATAACCTTTAACCTACTTTCACACGTGTAACGTTTCTCTCTTTTTTTTTTTTTTTACAGATGCAGATCTTTTTCATGTTTCTATTTTTCATTTACTTTTCTTTTTCTTTTACAGATTCAATTCAGAGAAAAAGTACTATGGACGGCAATAACGTTGTTTATTTTTTTAGTATGCTGTCAGGTTAGTTATTTTTATACACACACATATATATATATATGACTTATTATCGTCACATCTGTTTCATTATTATTCAAAAAAATATTACAAATTTATTTTCTTTTATAGATTCCACTTTTTGGCATTATGTCTTCAGACAGCGCAGATCCGTTTTATTGGATTCGTGTTATTCTTGCTTCCAATAGAGGTACCTTAATGGAATTAGGAATTTCTCCCATCGTTACTTCCGGTCTTATCATGCAACTCTTGCATGGTGCTAAGATTATTGAAGTCGGTGACACTCCGAAGGATAGAGCGCTTTTTAATGGAGCACAAAAATGTAAATGCAACAAAAATATTAGAAGGACTGAAAAGTAATGTCGTTACTACTCACATGTCAAATTATTTCTAATATTTTCAATCAAAAAACACCGATTGATGATTTTTATCTACCAGATTTGAAAAGATTGTTGATAACGTGATTAATTAATAATAAAAACTTGTTTGAATTTTAAGGTTAAAATGCGACATTACGTTCTGGTTCACTTAATACAATTATCTGTATCTTATATCTTAATCAATTAAATGATTATCTTTTTTAATTGGATAGTGTTCGGTATGGTTATCACTGTTGGACAAGCCATCGTTTATGTAATGACTGGAATGTACGGTGACCCAACAGAAATTGGAGCTGGTGTTTGTCTTTTGATCATCATCCAATTATTCGTTGCTGGTTTGATCGTATTACTTCTTGATGAGTTACTTCAAAAAGGTTACGGTTTGGGAAGTGGTATTTCTCTTTTCATTGCTACTAACATCTGCGAAACCATCGTATGGAAAGCATTTTCACCTGCCACTGTCAATACGGGTACATTGATTAACATTTTACTTGTTAATTACATTACTATGGATAGATATATTACTTAAATTGTTTTATGTACAGGTCGTGGAACAGAATTTGAAGGTGCTGTTATTGCTTTGTTCCATCTGTTGGCTACAAGACAAGATAAAGTTCGAGCCCTTCGTGAAGCATTTTACAGACAAAACTTACCTAATCTCATGAATCTCCTTGCTACCATTCTAGTATTTGCAATTGTGATATACTTCCAGGTAATTTGTCAAATATACTTTACAGAAGAAGGTAGTACCTGTAAAAAGAAATGTTAATGTAAATTTGTATATTTACAGGGATTCCGTGTAGATTTGCCAATCAAATCTGCTAGGTACCGTGGACAATACAGCAGTTATCCCATCAAATTATTCTACACTAGCAATATTCCTATTATACTTCAATCAGCATTAGTATCCAACTTGTATGTCATCTCTCAGATGTTGGCTGTAAAATTCCAAGGAAACGTCATCGTCAATTTGTTAGGAGTTTGGTCAGATGTTGGTGGTGGTGGTCCTGCTAGGTCTTATCCTGTTGGTGGATTATGTTATTATCTTTCACCACCGGAATCAGTAGGTCATATCGTTCAAGATCCAGTTCATGCAGTCTTATACATTTTATTCATGCTCGGTTCATGCGCATTTTTCTCAAAAACTTGGATCGAAGTCTCTGGTAGTTCTGCAAAAGATGTGAGTGAAAATAACACTGTTTATCAAATGTATAATTTATTATATATTGTAATAATTGATATTTTTGGTTATGTAGGTTTGGAAACAATTGAAGGAACAACAAATGGTTATGAGAGGTCACAGAGACAATTCCATGATTCGTGAATTAAACAGATACATTCCAACAGCTGCAGCGTTTGGCGGTTTATGCATCGGAGCACTCTCCGTGTTAGCTGATTTTCTTGGTGCAATTGGATCGGGTACTGGTATATTACTCGCTGTGACTATCATTTATCAGTACTTTGAAATCTTCGTTAAGGAACAAAGTGAAATGGGTGGCATGAGCACTCTATTGTTCTAAATTTATATATATATATATATATATATATATATATATTTATATATATATAGGTATATATATATATATATAAATATATATAGACTTTCAAAGTGAACTTTTTTAATTTTGAAGAACTGAGAATAATAATTTATTGTAAAATAAGAACGCGTTTGGCAATGTCAGCACTAAATATGTACCTGATTTGCCATAAAGTGAAGTCTTCATCGTGTGAATCAAATCATACAAATATGTGTATACTATTGTCCAATGATAGTAGAGATGATTTCTTTAATTATTCAATTTTTTCATATAAATTCTTTACTATATATGATGTTAGACTTATAATACTTTATATTCCTCATTTTGTTTTTGTTTTTTTTTTTTTAATTGATTTATTTGATTTATTTTTCAAAGACAAACAAAACACATAGACATTTTTCTCCAATAATAATATATAAATAAAATTGTTCTTTAGTACATAAGTGTCATGTCACATTTGCAAACAAATGTAATGACCGAACGTAAAAGATAAAAAAAATTCATCAATTAAATCTTAAATGATTGAATAAGAATGTGAAAAAAAAAAAAAAAAAAAGATTTGTTGTCAAATGCTTTATCCATGCATTTTAAGATGACGATGATTATAATGAAAAATGTTTCTCACAGTCGCACGCGCGAGTAATTATAATAATAATAATAATAATAATAATAATAATAATAATAATAATAATAATAATGTAAATAGTAAGAAAATAATAAAAATATTCTCAACATTTTTTACTAATATTTTAAACTCTGTGTAATCATCCAGAGCTTTATAAGAAAAAAAAAAATAAAATAAATAATAAAAAGACTCCTGACGTGTACGATTCGGATTCGTAACGTTTATATGAATTTAAGTGTATACATATATACATACATATATATATACAAAAAAAAATTACGTAATCATTTTGTTCGGACGAGACCACCCACCTAGGGTAAAATTCGTACAGCAATCAACTGTCATCATAGGTAATACATCATTCCTGTATTATTAAAATGATATAACACACAATTTAATTTCTTCAATGTTGTATTTAGCACAATGTACTTTTATAAAAAGTCAAAGTTGTATTTTTTTTTTGTCTTCCTTGCTTTTTTCTTTCTCCTATCTATAAAAAAAAAAAAAAAAGAAAAAAATTTATAGAATAGATAATTATCTTCTATTTGTTCGTTAAGTTCATTTATAATATTAAATCAATGTCAAAACAAATATTGCAATTTGTTAATTATCATAAAGAGTATGAATGTGAGATGTGATGTATCAATGATGATACAACATATTATTATTATTATTAATACTTATAAGCGAGTGTTAGTTTTATATATATATATATATATTATTAATGAACGAATTAGCAAATTATTATTATTATTATTATAGATATATATATATATATACGTATATAAAATATTGGCAAAAAAAAATGGGGAAAAAAAAGCTCCAAAAAAAAAAGAAAAAGAAAAAAAAAAGCAGGTTCATTTCTATTTTATAATGTGTGAAAACGTCCTTTTCTACTTTGTATGTAATAATAGTGTTGTTATTAATAATAATATACCTACTGTTATTAAAATTTCAATGTAGAAATTGGTATATTGAAAATACCTAAATTGTATTAACGCGAATATATAGTATATAAAAGTATTCAATTCTTTTCATCAAAGGCACATTTTATATCCAAACTTTTCCTTTTTCTATTATTAATTATTTTTTTGTTCAATTCATTTCTTGTTTATATTCTCAAAAATAAATAATTCGATTATTTACAAAAGTAATTGTATTCGATAAAATATAAAGGTGTTTTTTTGCATCATCATCATTATTATTATTATTATTATTATTATTATTATTTGTGTTCATTAAAAAACAATGTTGAATAAAGTGGACCTAAATTGTGAATGTTAGCGAGTAAAATCAAACGAAGTATTTCAATGAAACGTGTGTTTGGAATCGAAGTATCGGTATCTCTCCATGCTATGTTAGATCCTTCATTTCGAGTGAATAATGCCGGTGATGGAACATTCTCTCTCATGTATGCCCATACGCATTCTCTCATAACGGTATTTATCTGTAAACAATAAGAAACAATATTTATTTATATATATATATATATATATATTCATACATTTGACCCAAAATAAATGTGTATGTGCATACCTGATTAGGTTCTAGAACAGGTAAAATATCTCTGATACTTGCTAACGGTGGTGGTAACAATTGTCCAAGCGCCATAACATTTAATAATGCAACACCTTCTTCAATATTCCAATTAGCCATAACTGTAGCTGCTATTCCTCTTAACAAAACAGAACAATATGCTAATGCTGGCCTGTACCAAGCTGTTAATTCCAACAGTGTCCATAAAAGGGGTACATCTTTGAACGTACGACGAATTTGTAAATCTCTTTCTACAGTAACCTGTAATTATTGTTTAATATTCTTCGTAATTTTGTAATATGTCGGGGTAGTAGATTTTCAAAATAAAATACGTACTTTGGTAAATTCTTCATCAGGCCAGGGTAAACCATTATACATAACATCGGGTGATACTAATTCAACCAATAATAAACTAACCATTGTTAATGCATCTAAATTAACAGGATATTGTTCTGATTCTTGATTGCTACAGCAAGCTTTTATCACATCAATTAATAACATTTTATTTATAGTAATAATTCCTTTGTCGAGATTATTTTCTGGTGGTGGTCTTCTTGGACCATGACCTATTACACCAGCATGAAATACAGAAGAATTTCTTTGAGCTAGCATCGTACTTGTGACCTGTAGTTTGAAGAGAAATATTAGAAACATGTTTAATTGAACAATTACAAAATGATATTATTAACCTGTTTATGATTTTGATGTAGCAGTAACATTTCTTCAAATTGTTGTTCAAATTTTTCCTTTGCACCAAAATATTTAGCTGGATCATTATTAATACAGTGTACCAAAATATCTCTGAGTGCTAAAACTCGTGCACACTGAGAATAACATGTTAAATCCTTTAACAAATGGCAAACTATTTTGATGCCTTTCTCTTTCTTTATAATATCTATAAATGAAAATGAAAATCAATATTCAGGTAATATAATAATATAATTCATTTGATAAATAAATAAATTACCTTCTTCTGCTATACATAGAAAGAAATATTCCAATATTGCTTTAACTAATTTCAATGCAAGTTCAATGTTTGGTACAAAATAATCTTTCCCAGGCATACTTAATAAAGCTAACATTCCAGCTATGTCACTAGCTAAATCAAAATTATCTGTTTTCGTTAATAATGAAGAAATTTGAAGTAAATTCGATTTGATGGCTCTAGTTACCATTTTCGATCTAAATACTACAACTCTGTTAGATTTCTCCCACCTAAAAAAAAAAAAAAAAGAAGAAACAAAATAAGTTTTGCATTTAATGATAATTATTTTGTAATGAACATGAATCCATATTGTATCATGCGTAATTCCTAGATAATTACGTTATAATCTTTACTTTATATACCTACTTTAATAATATCGTAAGATTTTCAAATAATTGTCTTGACTCTTGAATCTCTGTAAGACTCTTATAATGAATTTCTCGAAGTGCTTGTTCTACTACTTGCGTAAAATAACCATGATTAGCAAACATAGTTTCGCTTTCTGGTTTGTTTATAGGAAACAATATAGAATTGTTAGAAATAAGATGTATCAATGCGGCTAAATGAAATGTCGTTTGTGCTTTTACCAACATAAATGATGCTGCAGATATTAAAATGTTAGAACTCTGTCCACCGATAAAACACAATAATCTCACTGCTGTTTGAACTCGCAATGGATCTCTATTTAGAAGTAATGGTATTATCACAGGTAACTCTTGTTTGATGGAATTTAAAAGAGAAATATTTGCAGACTGTACGTTATGTGTCCTTAAAGTTAAATTTATTTCTTCTAGCATTAACTCTAATATTTCACGACATACATTCTTGACACTTTGAGTTGCATTAACACTGTGATATCCAACATTGCTTGTATTCAAACTAGTATCTAATAGAACAATTATTATCTGAGATGCTCCTTGTTCGCAACCCAACGCTAAATGTACAGCTAAATCAATCAATGCCTCCGGTTGATTATTGAAATATTTACACCAATCTGAGGCGTATAAAGCAAGTCGTGGAATCACATCGGGATTTACTGAAATATCAAATTTACAATTACTTTGTTTTTTTTTTTTTTATAATACTTTTATCAATCTATCAAAGTAGTATTTTACGTATCTTACTTACATATTTGTGAAATATCACTAGTTATCGCTTTTAACAAAGTTTGAGAAAGGGAAGCTAAATTTAAAAGAAATGGTACCGTAGCTAATTTTTGTTGTCTCGTGTCTTCATCGACATTTACACTTTCATCCAAACTCCACTGTAACGAAAAACAATTCAAAGTTACTTACTACATCTAATCATTTTTATTTATTATTAGATTTTATTCATATAATCTTACTTTAAACAAATCCAAAAGTGCAGTTCTAATGTCTTGAAAGTGACTACCAGCTAAATGTCCTAGAATACCAACAACTGAATTCAACTTTGGATTCTTTACGTTATCTTCATAACCCATTGCACAGAAATCTTTCAATCCGCAAGATAATACTCTGGTAATAACAACATTTGGAAAACAACTTCCAACATGAGCAACAACCCAATCAAAATGTGGACTATGTAATACACTTGTATCCAGTAATGCTTTAATACAAGATTCTGTATCCGAATTCATAAGACATTGAAGACATTGTGCTGTGATGTCGATCAATGTACGAGTAGTACGACAAGACATCCATTGTTGTAAGAAATCGTTGATTCCAGAGTTAGGTGATAAACTGCCACGTTTTGAATATTCTGATGATAATTTACCTATTTATATGAAACAATTAGATTACAAAGAAAAATGGTAGAATAGAAAATTCAACTGGTACTTACCAAGTAATTCTAAAGACCATGCTGATATTATTGGTGCCCATGCTTCTGGATTTCCATGGATGAAATTACTTAATACAGAATAAATTTCTGCAATGATACTTTCCTCAGATATAACTGTGCTTTGATTTGTCTGTAAAATATTAAAATTAGGTGATACTGAATCAAGAATTATCAATGACAATACTGTTATTGTTTACCTCAATTTGTCGGACATATTTACTAACTGCAATACAAAATACATTGCAAAAATATTCAAGTACTGCATCCCTTGCAGCAGGAAGATTTTTAAGTAAAAACAATGCTGTTCTAGTTACATCAAGTGTATTTGTATTGTGAGTTGGTCTGACAGCCGATGAAATAAATTTCCTAACCTCTGCTAATATTTCTTGCGGTGATAAAGTATTCGGTAAATGTAACATATCTAATATATTAATTTATATACATCAAAGAAAAAGATAAAATCTATTTTGAATAATTTTTAAACGTCAACTACGTTTTGTGACAACTTTACATGAATGTATTCATATTACAACAATGTGTAAACATGTTTTTTTTTTTTTTATTTGTGACGCATAATGTCCACATTGGTCAAATACAAAACTGAACACACTACGTTAATCAAAATGATATTTAATATTAAACAATAATACAAGCTTAAACTTTGTCAAATTAAAATTAATTTATGTTCATTAGAATAATAAAAATCGTTTAATAATATAAAATAATTATTTTAACCAAATATATTGAGAATGTAAGTTTTGATTTGACTCGAATGTCTGTTTGAAAAATTCTGCTAATACAAATAATTAATTATAATATCCTTTCCATTATATTTTCTTAAACTTATAGAATCTCTTATTGAAAAAAAAAAAAGAAACGCAGTAATGTCTTTTCAGTCTCCATTTTTTATTAAATTCTTATTACAATAATATAATTATAAAAAAAAAATCATTATAAATATCAACTTAAAATAAATATATCTCAAATAATTTCTACAATTTCTAAAATACTTATGTGAGAGATTAATTGTCGAGTATATAATCGATAAATATTAAAATGAGTTCTTAGAAATATTGGAACATTTATATTGAACATTTAATTAACTTGCATCCCATATATACATATGGAAGATAAATAGTATATTTTTCTTTTCTCATCATTTCAACGTCTCTTCTTTTTTTCTTGCTTTCGTGGCCGATGAGGTTTTCTTGGAGTAACTTGTGGACTATTTTCTGAACATTCAACATCACTTGGATCATCCTATAATTATTATTATTATTATCATGTATAATAAATATAGAACCAATTAGATTGCCCAATAAGTTCGTGTAATTTTTGTCTAAATAATTATTGGACGATCTAATAAAATTTCGAAATATACCTTTAATGCAGCAGCCCCATCAGAGGGACCTGCTTGATAAATAACTATAGCTAATATGCATATAACTTGAAATATTGCTCCCACATAAAGTCCAAATCTTAACAGCTGTTCAAAGAGAGTTTCTTCAGCAGGAAGTAAAAGGCGTTTCAATTGTGGATCAGCATCAGCCATACTAAAGAAAATACATGCACATTTAAATAATACACAAAATGTTACAATATTTTTCTAATAAAATATTGACAATTAAAATCTTTAATGTTAAACTGACATGGGATCAAGAAATTTGTAGAGATAATGTGTATAAATGAAATAATAACAATACCTCTTGCTGATTTTTTCATCCCATTTAGAATATTATCAAATATTGTGTGTTAGAGAGATATCAATTTTTATTAAACATATATCATAACATAGAAATCAATAACCTAAGCAACAGTCGATCGTATAGTAGAAAGTTCGGTTTGTATATAGCAACATTTGCAGAATTACCAACCCCTTTTGACGTATTTTAAATGACAACTATCGGATATTGGTTTTTATTAATATAATAATTTACACAGAGAAAAATGTTAAAGGCTTCAAGTATCAAGTCAAAAAAGTTATAAGAATGTACAAAGAATATATGTTTTTATTCAGAAAGTTCATCAATTTTGAAATGTACAAAAAGTTCTCTTAATTTTTATGGTAATTTTCTGTAAGTTGTCATCTTGATCAAGTTTAATCAATTGAACGGTAGATGGCACCTTGTTAGATACAATCGATCGTTACGCCAACTACGAGTAATAATGTGTATTAATACAAAATTATCTTCTATATTTTAATCGAAGTAATATTAGTTAATACAAAACATATTTATTATATTATAGATTATTTTTGTTACAATATATTTATTGAAAAGTGTCAAAAGATACCAAGTAGACGTATTAACATGAAAATAAGAATTAAAAGTTGGTCAAATTGAAATTGGCGCGCTGACAATAGCGCCGGAAGCTTTTGGGTTCGAGGCTTCATTGCTTGCGAGTCCGTGGATGTAAACCTTTGTTTTGTACAGAAGAATGGCTGCCATCTTTAGTTTTCGATGGATGTTTTCCGAAGAGATCGCGAATTCTTATATTTATTCCGGTATTTAATAACGTAATAAAATTTAGGATAGTGAAATAACGTCGTCCACGATGTAAAAAGTGTTTTCTCCTTGATTATTTAAGCTGCCTTGGTGTTAGTTCGGTTAAAAAATGCTTGTGTTTACATCTAAGTTTCGAGTGAGCTTCTGTATTCCTGTCATATTAAGGTAAGCGATGGTTTTTTTTCGATATTTTTAATACATTAGAACGGTTTAGAAATTGTAATTGCATTATTTCATAATTCACCATTATTTAATATTATTTTTAAATAGCTTTTTAATTGGGAACATTGATTTTCTAACGAACAATATCTTAGATGATATTAAAATCTTATTTAACATTACATATTTTTGTTACGTATCAACGATTAACTATTTATTCATTAACCATTGTTCGATCTTTTATTATTTGAATAGTTTCTTTATCGGTAACGTATAAACTTTTTTTTTTTTTGCAAATGCCTTCTATAACCAAAAAAGTTTGTAAGAACGTTTGAAATATTAATACATTGAACTTTTATCGGTTAGTTTGTTAAACAAATATTGTAGATTATTAGGAAGATAAGATTTCGACAAAATATATCTGTTAATTACGATTTCTATTCCGTAATGGTGGCAACAATGGCTGGTAAAATGGTGAGCGAGGGCAGGTCAACCACATTATATACTTACAACTTGAAATATTTTCAATGTACATATTACAAATAATTATTGTCTATTGTGTTATTTATAATAGCAGAATTGTTCTCACTGTTATTTCAAAGTTCTTTTCACGCGGATATACTACTTTGATTGATTCATTGTGTCAAATTGTGAGTAATTTTATGAACACTATTTTCTTGTAAGAATATAAAACAGTTGGTATTGGATTATTTTTTTTTTTTTTATATATATAAATATTATTCCAAAACAGTTTACAAATAATATAAATTAGTGAAATGTGTGCGTTAAGTGTTACCGTACTTTTCCTTTCAACTCCATTGGAAAAAAAATATGTCATTATTCATATGATATAATTATTTTTAATTATATCTTTTGTCTATGTTTTTCACAATGAGTTTATTAATTTACGTATATTGAAGTGATGTATTCATTAGTTTTACAACATATTGAGCAACATATTTGATATATAAAGTCTTTCTGCTAACTATGGTATATAATGTGGTACATTGTAATGTCATAAAAGGTAAATAAGTTTGAGAAACAATAAACATAGGTTATTAAGACTGTATAATATATTTTTATTTCAACTTACTTTAATCGATCCCAGAAAATTATACAATCTTATGCAGTGTTCATAATATTTAATACATATATTTATTTATAACGTGAGTATTAGTGATATATGAAAAAATATTATTTTCTATACATTAAACGTTAAGTAATAAGATGTTTATATATTTGAAAAAATTGTTTACTATTATAACAGTTTGATATTTAGTTTAACTCTTCATATACATTTTCAAATTGTAATATTTAACATATGTCAGGTGCTATTTGTTATCTTAATTGTAATATTCATTAGGTTAACAAGAATTTGTTTAGTTTCATAGAAAATGCGTATATTAACAAGAATTCTAACCTATCTTGCTGAAAATTCATATATGAGATCCGTAAGTGAAGTCGGCGGGAATAAAAAAATTTAACCAGACGGCGCTGTTTTCGCCTGTAACGGCCATCTTTGCGGTACTCCCTTCTTGCCCGCCACCTATCTCTAACTACACTCCCTCTCTCTCTCTCTCTCTCTCTTCCTTTTCATAGCTTTCACGCAATCTCTTTTCGTTTCCTACTCCGATTTTATATTTTTTTTTCTCTCTATTATTTTATTTTTAATCCATCTTTCTCTTTTTATTTTTTTTTTTATTCATTCACTTTTTCCTACATTCGTATTATTATGAAATTGTATTCTTTTGCCCTTCTTACATTTCATTCAATCTATGTCTCAAAAAAAAAATGTCTTCCCAATTGGAGTTTCCGATCTTTGTTACGATAAATCAATGAGTTACCGACTTACGTAAAAAAAAAAAAAAACCAAGTATAGTGATACTTTTTTCCCCTCTCCCCCTATTTCGCAATATCGTTCAACGTTTTCTTTTTACGTCACATTGTTTTAAACGGAATAATAAATCATTGATATGGATAAAATAACTATTGAGATAACAATAACGTATATTTTTAAAAAGAAAGATATAAAAATTAGAAGAATGTATAGAAAAATATATGTATACTATATAGTATAAGATCTCAACATAAGTTTTATCTTTTCTATAGATACAATTCAATAGTATGTCCTATTTTTACGTTTTACGGTTTTTCACAATATCTCTTTTTCTCTCTTGTTCTCTTTCTCTTTTTCTCTCGCTAGAAGCAGTGGAAATTTAAATCGGTCGTTTTAAAGGATACATCTTCAGAGAAGAGGCGCGTAGAGCGCACAGTGGGCGGAGATAGAGGATGTTCCGGTGTTGCGGGAGAGGGGGAAGGCTGCACTTTAACTGGGTAGTGGGAGGAATGATGATGGTGAGCGGGGTGGGGGGACCACGAATGAGGGACGAAGGGAAAGCGATGAAGGGTAGGAGCAGTAGGGTAAGGACAAGGGTTGGTGGAGAGGAAGGGAGGTTTAACGCGCTCGGTCGACGGTGGGTTGGCATTCGCCGGTTGCGAGGTAAAATGGTATCGACCGCAAGAGAGAAGTTCACATGGATTGACGAGCACGCGCGACACACCGAATGCGTGTGATCCATGCGAAAATTTGTAGGCGAAGCAACCAGCAGCAGCAGCAGCCAGAACCATCGGTTGTGTGTGCTGCACCCGTGGTGCTGGCTTTAGGGGAAGCAAAGCGGTCAGAGGGTGGATGAGGAGGAAGAAGAGAGCCAGGGGCAAGGGAGAGAAATTGAGCATTCGCGTTTGAATATTTGCTGCCCCCGCGGGCACTCGGCCTCGACCTAACTCAAAGCAACAACGTTTGTGCCCCCCCATTGATTCATGTAAATTAATATTATCGCGCCTCCCCTTTGTGTGCACGGCCAGTTCCAATTTATTTTCATTATTATTCGCCCGTTTCGTGAGCTATTCAAAATTCCCGCTTTTTCTCCCTCTCTTTTCGTATATACAAATATATATATATATAGCGTAGGATTGTTAGCATCGTTTCACTTTAAATATCTCTCCGGGAGGAAGATTTTCGTTCAGATTTAGTGATGAGATAACTACCTACTGCTGCTTGCGCATCTCGCAGAAGATCTAGCTGTTTTTTTTTCTTCCTTTTTTTTTGCGTTTATTATATTGCGCTGATGCGTTTCTTCGAAATGACGTCAGAGCTTATTAATGGTTCCGCGCGTTTATTAGAGAAGTAACTTTACGTAGGAGTGCTAATGCATTAAGAAATATGCATTAAGTCGTCTATTGTATCTTAGTAAGATAGAAAGATGATCGATTTATCTCGTATGGATTTATTTGTTAGCAGCTTATAATGGAAGATTTTAGAAACGTAACCTTTTCAAAGTACACGCATGAAGGATTAGGAGTTCGTGATATATCGTACGTAATATTACGTTGTAGGATAAATGTCTCGTTTGATAAAGTTAACGTATAAAATCACCGTGCGTGTATATGCTTTTTATCTTTCATTGTGTTCGACCGTAATCTAATAGGGCCGTTAAGATAAAATATACATTTACAATTCTTACTTATCGGTATTTACAAACGTTAGCGCTCGCGCATGCGCGTCTATGCTCCGTTATGTTTTTTCATGTTACGCAGTTGTTTTCATTTTTCCCTGTCTCGTTTGAAAATGTTTTAGATGGTTTTTTAAAAACAAAGTATAGGGAATTAGTTGCATAAAATAATATATATCGAAGTATCTGAAATTACAATAAAAATTTGTGTGTATATAGTAAGTAAATGATTGTGGTGGTAGTAGGAGTAGGAGTAGGAGAGAAACCCAAAAGGAAGGAGAAAACTGCATACATTCTCTGCAAAAAACACTTGTAGTATATAGAAGGAGAAGTGGGGTGGTGGGAGGAGGGAGGAGGAGGAGGAAGAAGAAAAATGTTGCGCTCACTAAGAGTTAACCTTGGATGTAATAGCGAAGACGCACCACTACAATGCACTCTCTTGTCCTCTCCTCTTCTCTCCTCTCCTCTCATCTCCTCTCCTCTCCTCTCTTCCCACCTTTACACCGAAACACCCACGTAACCTGCGCCTGCGATTTGCTTTCTCGATGGAGGACAGGTAATCTCAACCTCTGTCTCTTTTATGTTTACGGCTCCTTTACAATTTTCACGACACACGGTATATTTATTCTCGATTATTATTATTTTTCTTTTTCCATAAAGAATTGTTGAAATCAATGGTCCTTTTATTATGCCCTCCCCTCCATCCCATAATTATTGCATTCGTTCCCCTCGGTTCGTTTCCACCATTCCTGCGGTTTACTCGCATTCCTAAATAATTAATCCATGGAACCGCAGTCAAAAACCGTCCGGGTTCCCTGTGGTACGAGATGATAAATGAGGTTAAGTTTATCAACCATCAATTGAAGCAAAACTTCATTGTCAATTCAAAAGAAAAATAGAAAAGGAACAAGGAATAGGAATAAAAAAAAGTCAAAGAGATGTTTATTATTTTTAAATATCTTATATATATGTACACACCAATTACGCGGAGCATTAAACGTTGCGATATAAATGGAAACAGTTCATTAACCAATGATGTTTATTTTCCTGATCAAAAGTTTAATATAGAGACAAGGATAAGAGAGAAAGTGTGTTGATATTTCATAAAGTTTATAAGAGAAGGAAGGAAAGAAAGAAAAGAAAGGAAAGAAAAGGAAAGGAAAGGAAAGGAAAGGAAAGGGTGCCGTCATCGGTGTAATATCACCGTCCGATGCACACAGCATTGCCTCTTTTCGCCATCACCACCATTCTCTCCTCCAGTATCGTTTCTTTTAGTTTCTTTTTTCTTCCTCTTCCTCCTCCTCCTCCTCCTCCCCCTTTTCATCCTCGTATCCTTCCCCTCTCGGATTACCGCTCTTATAACTCTCTTCTCATTCTCTCAGCGCAGCAGCAGCAGCAGCAACCCAAAGARAGAGAGAGTAAAGAAGATAAATAAGTTAGAAAGAGATAGATAGATAGCGAGTTCAGTGGAAGAACGAAAGTTAGAGAGAGATAGATAGAGAAAGCAAAGAAAGATACCGGTTATTGGTGGAGACTGGCATATTTCACCGGGTGTCCAGCAATCAGACCTTTGTATACGGCTCACTGCATGTTGCGCGCTCGTGTTCTCTTCTCTCCCTCGCTAGAAAGAAAAAGAAAGATGGAGGCAAAAAGAAAGAAAGAAAGAGAGAGAGAGAGAGAGGACGCATTGAAGTTTCCAGCGAAAGGATAAAAAGAGGAGTCAGAGCGGGGCAGAGGGGGAGTAGGAGGAAGAAGGGGAAGAAAGCAAGATACCAAACGTTTATTTAACGACGTAGAACTAGCCGCTCGACTATGGCCGCTTGGGATAGCTAAATAGGGGTCGGGAGAGGAGTGGTGGGGGGCGACAGTATGTGGCGCATCGGTTGTTGCGTTAGCTGCGGTTACCATGGGTAATGCTGGGATTGTTGAATACACTCGCTAGTTATCTCTCTCTCTCTCTCTCTCTCTCTCTCTCTCTCTCTCTCTCTTTCTGTCTCTTAACGTAAAAGAGATATCTATCTAACATATTTTGTATGTTCCACTGAATGCATGAATGTTATATATTGTTGTTGGTATTTGCGTACGCGTAACTGCATTTCAAGCGGTACTCCCGCGTTTTTGTTATCTTTTTTATTCCGCATCTTTTTTTTTTTATCTCTTCATATGCTTCTAAAATAACACTTCTTATTTTTTGCGTTAGGCGGTAAAATACAAATCTTCGAACAACTAATTTAATTAATTACAGTCGGTAAAGAAGAATTCTTTATTTCCGGTTGCGCAATACGCAGCAGTAGTGTAATAGCGGGAAATTCGAAATTTCTTTTGAGAAAATTAACATTAAGCGTGTGTTATACTTTTTGTCTCGAGTAATTTCGTTGATATTTATGTGAGAACGTAATTTGTATTAATTTGAACGCTCAGAGACTATTTTACATCGGTACAGTTTTGTTTATAATCGAGTTAAGCTTTTACACGTCCCGTGGAATGCACCGAGAGGAGAGTCGTTGTCGTCGTGTTGTGCGCATGCGCGACTACGGGACGCGAGATCGCAACACCATTTTCTTGTAACCATCGTTGTTTCATGATACACAACAATGACGAGTTGAAAGGAAGGGAAGGGAAGGGAAGGCTCGACAAAATTTCATTCCAATCGATTTTCAATTTAATATGTCGATTATCGATATGTTCATATCGATTAAATAAATGGCGGGTAACGCTTCGTGATATGAAAGAGTTATCGATACTAATTTAAAAAGAAAACGAAAATTTGTTTCTGTATGTTTCAAAGATGTCGCCATATGTTAATTTCTTATTTATTTCAAAAAAAAAAAAAATCTAGTTGCATTTGTTGCAGATCAATTATTGTCACTAATTTTGTTTTTAGTTCGTTGTCGTTCTGCGAATTTAATCGATAACTCATTTGAATTATTAATTTATAAAACAAAGCATGCATCCATTTGTTTGCATAATTGATGAAGAAAAATTCAGTAACAATAATAAAGAACGGAAGTGATGTATATCTTATACGATACATCGAAGTATAATCAGTTGGAAAATAATTTTGGTTTGCATCGAATCAATGTTGAGGGTCGAGGTACGCCAAGTAGGTCGCTGTATAAATCCCATTGCTGCCAACTTAGAAGAATACAAGTTGAGAGAGTCCCCGTGTACAAAACAACGTCGCACGATATCGTTTCGTTACGCTTCACCGCGGATTCGGTTGGAAGCTTCATTTTGTTTCGCGCCATTCTCTAAGGATGAGATTATATTTTTATTTGTTACTTACAAGCTTGAAAATATATATTCCAATTGTTCAATTATAAATCGATAATTTTCAAATTTACAGATGACCTAATCATAACGTACAATTATTTTCCAAATATCAATTTATTTTATTTCAAACAGGTATTCCCCAATTATTTATTTCAAAATGGCGACTTCAAATTCTTATACTTCCAATGAAAGAATCGTTTCGTTTGACGCTAATAGATGTTTACAAAAAAAAGTAGGTATCAAAGATCACTTGTTAAAAGTATCATAAATTTTCTTTTTTGATTACATTATAAAATGTACAATTGGTATGCAACGAGTATGATATGATTTTCCTTTTATATTTAGAATGGAAGAGATTAGAAATATAAGAAAGTATAAAATTCGTTTGCATTGAAATTGCTGCATATGCTTTTGATTTCAGTGGTATTTTCTGGCATCCGAGGTAAATGCAGCAATCATTGGATTTCGTAAGTTTGTTCGGTTAAAATTAAGTCGGTCAGTGTGCGATAGAAACGCATAACTTTGCTTTAAAGTAACGTTCTCGGTTTGCTTTCGTCGATGGTACAACACTCTATAGCAATAACTGCGTCGTAGTTGTAACTCACGATCTCTTTCTTTCATTCTCCCTCTTTATCTACCTAACTATCTATCTATGTATCTATTCATCTATATTTTAAGTCGCAATACAATCGATGATCTAAATATACATATACATGTATGATTTTTTCTTCTTCTTTTTTCTAGTTAAATACTTTTCTTAGAAGAAGTTGAAGAATGCAATATTGAAACGAAATGTTTCATTTCTAAGAAAATAATAATAATTACAACAATTTGTATCATTAAAATTGATGAAGACAATTATCAATGGAAGGTCGTAGCCAATCAGAGTAACAAAACGCGTTACCGTTTTTTTTTTTTTTTTTTTTGTAATATCAAACATATGATTGCGTTTCATTGTTTCATTTAAACAAACTTGTTGTAAAAATGACAATTGATTATAATTAGTCTATTTATTATTTTATTTTTCGCAATAAGCATCTTTTTTTTGGGATCGATAAGTTGAAACGCAGCGCGACTTTCTTGTTTGAATTATTAAAACTTCTTTGTGTGTAATCTATGCGTTTCTGTAGCAACGTAAAGATTTTCTAAAGAAGTTCTATCCACTTATTAAAGTTTGATTCTTGATATTAATAATAATTGGGACGTTTTATGATACATAGTAAAAGAATAATGATTATTTTGTTTCAGCTTATGGTCAATAATCCTCAAATAGCAGAATCGAGGAGTACGTTATTGAAATCTAAGGTTATTGAAATAATAAGAAAGGCAAAAGATTCGCATTTGTTCAAATTTTCATTGAACGTTATTGAAAGGCCTTCAAAACGTCGACCCCGTCGGTGATCAAGTTATCCGGGGGTGGCACAAGTGGCAGCGGGGAGGAACTATCCCCAAAACCCGGGCCACCTCCTCCACCGGTGGTATCTACAACCGGTGAAAAATGTAACGAAAGTAATGAAACTAGTGTAAATAAAAAGAAAGATGCAGCGGTTGCATTTGAACAACGGGGTGGTGCAGCAACAGGAGCAGGAGCAGGAGCAGGAAGAGCAGAAGCCACCATGAGTATTGTATTACAATTGGGCGCAATGGAAAACAATTCCAATGAAAAAACAAAAAACGGCAGCGGCGGCGCTTCTTCTTCTTCTTCTTCTTCTTCTTCTTCGTCGTCCATGTTAATTGATAGTCAAGAATTAACGTCGCCATTAACGATTGTTACTACTACTACTACTACTACGGCAAATACCTTAGTCGCAATGAACGACGATAATAGCGATAGTAATAATCCTCAAGTACTTCAATGTCTTGAAGTGACAAACGTACCCAAGATAGCAGTAACCCATTCCTCAATATCGCTATCAAGTGTCAAATCAGTCAGTGTTTCTTATACTGTTAATAAAACTAATAAAGAAACATCTCAAAGGGTTAGCAGTTGTTCTCAAACGAATACTACCCCAGTTTTGACGACTCGCGTGATATCACAAAAATCCCCGTGTCAAGCGTTTATAAATCAACCCTTAACGTTAAATGCTTCCATAAACGTCACGCATTTACCAGTCAACTCTCAATCCTCGCCTAATGTGGCACATCCTTCTGTAGTCTATCCTTTGCAAACAGCAACATGTACACAGAACAATCAACAAGCTAAAACACAAACGTCCGCCGTGACCGATGCTAATTCGAAAAAGCAACAAGCAGCAGCAGCAACGACGACGACGACGACGGTCGGTAATTTGCAAACGACGACGAATGTGCACACAAAATTTCAACAAATTTCGCCCCAACAGATCCTTAATACTGCCACTGTAAAAACTATTACAACGGCTACGAATATTCCTAATATACAAAGGATACAAGTAAAAGGATCTAATCTAAATGGGCAACCTCAGACGGTTAACTTACAGAAAGTCAAAGCTGTCGCAAACCTCAGTAATCCTACTATGGTACAACGTAACACGGTATCTAGGTTACAAGCTCTACAAAAACCTCAAGTTCTTACTGGTACTACTCAAGGAGGCCAATTCACGGTCAATCAAATCTTTAACAATGCCAACTTGCAACGGATACAAACTGGTACTTCATCACAAAAAGTCCAATCTAATAATTCGGCGAATTCCCCAAAAATGTCACAGGTCTATAATAACCAAAAGACAACAGCAGGTCAACAATTGGTAACCAATCATGCAAATCACAAAGTACAATATCAGAATAATCAGCAGGTACAACCAACGATACAAAAGGTCCAGGGACAGCAGCAACAAAAGTCATTGCCTGTTCAAAGACAGAATAATGCTCAAAAGTCTAATAATTCCGCAGGCAGTGTACAGAAGGCACAAATTAGTGGACAGATGCAAAATCAGTCACCACAATTGCAGAAACAAGTACAACAATCACAAACGTCGCAAAATCAAAGATCCCAATCTGCAATTACGTTGAACAAATCTCAAACTTTAACGACTGTCACTTCTAATCGAGTGCAGACCATAACGAACGTTTGTAAGAGTAACAGTGTACCTAACATTTCTAAGGTTCCACATAATTCAAATGCTTCTGTTACGAGCAAGCAACAGCAAGGAGGAGCATCACAATCCCAACAATCTAATGTACAAACGTCGACGCAATTGCAACCGCAATTATTACAAACGTCCCAGCAACAACATGTTACACAGAAACAACAAACAGTTACCACGACACCACCACATATTCAAAGAAATCATAATATTACAAATGTACATCAGAAAGTGGCAACTATAACCGCAATACAGGGTAATCATAAAACTCAAACTATAGTGCATTCAAAGCAGCAGCAACAACAGCAGCAGCAGCAACAACAACAACAACAACAACAACAGCAGCAGCAACAACAACAACAACAACAAATGGTTATGAGAGTAGGTGTACCGAAAAATCAAGCGCAAAATTTGCAGCAAGGAAATATCAAAACTATTCCACAAAAGAAAACAAACACCGTAAAGTCTCCGAGTTCTCAAAATTGTGTTCAACACACCTTACACAGAAATAATAATTCTCAACCGGTTAAAATCATACAACAGCAACAGAATGTAATTGGTCCACAGAATACCCAGAAACAACCTGGTTGTATTAAAACTATTCCACCTCAGAAACCTGCTCAACGAAACAATCCCCAGATAATAACAGGCTTTAAAAGCTCTTCAAATAATGTTACTACGATAAAGAATCAAGGATTGATGACGACACCGGTATCGCAGAAAACGAGTATAAAAACGTTACTTCCCCAACAGACTGTTATGCAAAATATGTTGGTGCATAAGAGTTCACCTATTAAAGTTCAACAACAAACTATACAACAGAAACAACTTATCATGGCGTCGCAATATTCACAACAAGGAGGAGGTAGAACGCAAACAGGACAAATGAAAACTTTGCTCTCTACTACAAATACGGAGGTACACGAAGATTTAGATAACAAGTAAGTACTTTTGTATTCATTTTCTATTAAATCTAATATTTATCTGTATATTCAAAAATCTAATGTATAATAATTATTAAATTTTAGAATGGAAACTGATTCATGTAAATTTAACGTAGAAGAGATACAAAAAACCCCACCAAAATCTCCAGTTAGAAGAATGCCGTTGCCTTACGAGGTAATAATTTGGTTAATTAAATATGAAACGTTGTTTCAGTTTGAAATCAAACGTTTTTATTTGATTCCGAACTGAAAATAAGAAGAATAATCAAACGTTTCATATTTAATTAACCACTTGCGGTGCAAATATGTGTCCAACATGCTTCTGCTATGAGATTCTGGGATAAATGTTTTTTTTTTTTTAACCAGTGTTTCAGTTACAAAAGTGTTTATTAATGATTTTCATTTACTAATTAGAAATTTGATTGTAAAATCAAATGAAAACTAGAGAATATTTGTGTGTCGGTTTGTCCGGGATGTTTGAATACAGGGATGGAGCAGAATTTACACGCCACCATGTTAAAAAGAAATCCCAAGAGAAAGAATACAATTAAAATGTGGGGTGTGCGATTTGTCGAAGTGTAACTAATCTTTTTTTTTTTTTGACCGGTTAAAATGAAGTCCAACGCAACCCAAAACAATCCTTAACAATATTGGAGCCAATAATACACTGAAGATATTAGCCAAATTACTTGGACGGATTGAAAAATAACAGACAATGAATCGGTTAAATGATTGCCTTACAAGTTGTGCACAGCTTTCGGTTTGGCCTTGTTTTCCAAACAAATATTACTAAATAATATGATACAACTCATTATCGAATTACAGTGTCTTCAGTTTGTTCTACAAGATCATAATTATGGAGCACCACCACCACGAACACCACCACCACCTTCGCCACCTCCTCATACTAAACAACAACCAATTAATGGTGCTGGTACTTCAACTACTACTTCTCAATATATATATGGACAAGGTAGTCAAACTGATATTATTATTATTATTATAATATTAGGAAGACTGAAAAGTAATGTTGTGTTACTACGTACGTATGTCAAATTATTTCTAATATTTTCAATCAAAATACCGATTGATGATTTTTATCTACCAGATAGAAAAAAGGTTTTCTTGATAACGTGATTGATTAATTAATTTAACCTTTCCAGTCCACTTAATATTAATATTATGTTTATTTCTAACCTAAAATGTATTCATTAATTTATCTTTTTTTTTTAAGTTGTAAATAATAGCAATAATGTGGAAGATGATGCAGCTAGTGCAATCAGTAGTGAAGCCGGACGTGAAGTAGAACCGGAAGGTGAAGAGACAGAAACTGCTGCTGAAGGTGAAGGTGATGACGAGGACAGTGTTACTAGATGTATATGGTAAAAGAATCTTTTTAAATAAATAATTATATATATATATGTCCTATATAAATATAAATTAACTTTGGTTATTAATTTTCAGTGCTTTTGAACACGATGACGGGTACATGATATGCTGCGATCGTTGCTTGTACGTTTTTAAACAATTTATATATTTAATAAACAATTTATATTTAACAATACTAACGTATATTAATAAAAAAAAAAATGAATGTCTAATTTTCCAGAGTTTGGCAACACGTGGATTGTATGGGGATTGATCGTTCAAACATTCCTGATGAATATCTTTGTGAAATTTGTAAACCACGACGCGTTGATAGACAAAGGGCACGTACTTTGCAAATGCGTAAACGCGATGAATTGTTAAATTCGGATAGTTCATCCGACACATCATCGGCGAGTTCGATAGATACTGATATTGGTGTTAATTCAACACAAAAGAAACGATCAATACATCATCAAGTTTCCAGAAGAAAATCAGATCCTCCACCGCAAGTAAGAAGACTGAAYAACAACAACAACAATAATAATAATAATGTAGGAAAAAGACAAAGACGAGATTCGAATCCAAGACAGTCTAGTGCGGTTAGAAAGAAAGAGACTACCAAACGTGGTCCAGGTAAACGTAAGACTAAAAGAAGAGGAAGCGGGGATGAAAAGGAAGAGGAATTTCAATATGATGCATGGGGTGGTTCTAACATGACTCCTCTCAGACAATGGATAGAAAGATACGAAGAAGCAGTGACCAATCATTATAGTCCTGAATTAAGAGCTAGAATATCTAGCATAAAGGTCAATGGTACTCATTGTGATTTAAGACAAAGTAATATGAACGTTATTGCCACTGGTAAATGCAGACTCAATGTGCACAGTAACAATTTAAGAGTAAGTATAAATATATTTAGCTTTTTTTTTTTTTTTTTTTTTTTTTAGAAGGAATCTGTATAATAATCATATTTATATGTATAACAGTTTTTGGCAGCCACAATGTATCTACCGCCAAACACTCCGGTTGTTGAATTGCGTGGAAAATATATGCTAAGTACGCAACATAGACCGTCGCATCCTCAGGGTAGACAGCATGCTCAAAGACCAGGGCCTTTTGTATTCTTTTATCGGTTGCCACGAGATGGTACTGAAGTATGCGTAGATACTAGAACATATGGAAACGATGCAAGATTCGTGAGGCGTAGCTGTAAACCTAATGCAGAAATAAAACATTGTATAGAAAAAGGAACATTGCATTTGTATATTGTCACAAGTATGGCAATCGAAAAGAATGCTGAAATCACAATTAGGCATGAGCCACACGATTTGTTATTGTCACCTAATCCCAATTCCCCAGTGATACCGGTGACTTGTGCATGTAATAATACAAGGGAATGTCAATTTACATCGACAATTCAATTTAATAGAAGAGGTAGTAATGGGGCTGTGGTTGTAGAGAATGCAGAGTAAGTATATAATAGATAGAGATTTTAGATACATTCAATGAAATCATTACTATTCTCATTATTATTATTATTATTATTATTATTAATAATAATAATTTATTTGTTTTGTTTTTGTAGCGGTAGAGAAAGAAGACGACGAGGTAGACGAAACACAATATGCGAGGATAGTGATTCGGTACCTACAGTTTCCAGTATAAATGTTACAACATCATCAACGACCCAAGTGCCGACGGCATTACCTGTAACAGCACCGCCTAAAAAAACTGTACCAACTAGTAGTACTAGTAGTACGGTTACACGTCAACTACCTAAAGAAGAAACTACAGTAACAACGCAACAACATCAACAACAACAACAACAACAACAACAATCGCTACCCCAACCATCCCAAACGTCTCCTGCTTTACCCCAGCCTACTGTGCAAGAGATGAAAAAGGATAAGAAGAAGATGACAAGGGAGGAAAGAAAAATGGAAGCCATTATGAAAGCTTTTGAGAGACTTGAAAAGGCAGAACAAAGAAAGCAAGAGGTTCAAGCTAGGAATGCGCAAAGAAAGGAATCGGGTGGTACGCACAGCGATAACGAGGACACTCATAATTCTGTCGTATTACAATCTAAAACTAAACAACAAAATTCTGAAAGAACGTTACGACGAAAAAAGAGGAAGGGCCGTGCAAGGACTTCCTCGCAATCTCAAAGTACTAGAAGGACACGATTAAATTCCGCAGATTCGGATGTGTCGTCGGGCGACGAGAGTAATTCCATGCAATCTCCTCCGCTTGCTACACAAAATCGTTCGTCAAGCGGTGACGCATCATATTCTGCACATTTAAATACACCAGCCAAAAATGGAAACGATGGCTTTACTACTACTACTACTACTACAGGAGCAGGAGCAGGAGGAGGAGGAGGAGGAGGAGGAGGACAAGGACAAGGACAAGGACATCAAGGAATACAGACGGCAGCTGGTCTGTTACTAGCGTTAGCTAATTCAAATACACCTGGTCCAAGTTCTCCACCTTTACAGCAACCAACACCTGTTAAAAGTCCTACATGTGATAGCGGTGCCAGCAGTAGTTCTCAAAGTTCAACTCCGTCCACACCGTTATCTTCAGCATGTTTACTTGTTGCAGCAGCAGTTGGACCCTTAGCTCCTGGTTTTAAATTTCCAAAAACTAAAAAAGTTTTGATGAATGAATGGTTGAAGGAATCACCAGACCCACCTCAAACTAATATACCTCAAGCCACGCCAATAACTTCTATATCATCTACTACTACTTCTTTGCAAAACTCTGTCGTCAATCATCCTCTCTGTAGGTCGTCAGAGTTTTCATTACCCAATGATCCATCCGCTGAATTTTTAACTCAAAGTTATGCGGCCAAAAGTCTAGCCACACTTGTTCAAGCTGCTAATTCTGTTTCCGGTATATGCGATTCTCCACCACAACGAAAACAAATGATTACAGGAAGCAATGCTTGTCCTGTTTCAACTGGATCTGCAAAAAAGAGATGGTTGAGGCAAGCTATTTCGGAAGAATGTGAATCGCCAAACAGTCGGCCTGAAAGTCCTCCCCCTAGCGAGAGGGTGGCACCACCTAAAAAAAGAAGAATAGCTAGGGAAAGTTTATCTTCTGATAATTATACACCGCCAACAACACCAACGATGTTAATTCCAGAAGTTGTTTCAACTAATAAATTATGCAACAACGAAGTAAGTCTTACAATTATACATTTGTTCAATTTGTGTTTTCACATTTGTCAATTTGACTTAGTCATATTATTATTATACAATATTATTATCTATTAACTGAAGTAATATTATTTTGTAGGAATATCATTTTATTGAACAACCTCAATCTCCAACGATGGAACACAATGGCGACCAAAACGATGAATCTGAATGTTTAGATGAAAAAAATGTAACAAACAGTATCAAAAAATCGGATGAAATGACGTGTAATTATTCGAACAATCATCACAGTACTGAAGTAAATGAAATACAAGAATTTATCAAAATCGAATCAAAAGAATCTCTAAAACAAGATGGTATTTTGATAAAGGAAGAATCCTATTTAAATAATGAGATATTTGATGCCAATGTTAATACAAAAGTAGAACCTCATTTGACTCCTTCGGAGTTGATTAAAAGTGAAAACAAAATTGCTGCTACACGTGAGACAACGACGACGACGACGACGACGACGACGATGATGACGATGAATGATTTTCAAGTGCAACAAAATGCGCTGATAAAAAATGAAGATATCAAAGAAGAAGAAATAATTGAGAAGGGAACGGTCGAAATAGTTGATCAAAACGAACCCGACACAGAAATGGAAGATTTTAATTCGCCTAATGTCGCCATGGAATCCGACGCAATTTTGAAACAACGCGTAGCTGAAATGAGATTAGAATTTGGTGGTAGTATAGCAGACATTGTGAACATTTCTAACGAACAACGTGAAAAATCTACTGACGAGGATGACAAACAGATGGAAATTAGTAAAGATTCGGAAATAAGATCGGAGGATAACAACTCGATCGACGAATTTGACGTAGAAGCACAAATGAAAAGAATAACCGGAGACGATGGTAACGATTACAAAGAAAAAGTGGACACTAGCTCGGAAAAAGATAAAAGTATGGATGGCATAGAAGGATTAATGGAAAGTTCCAAAGAAGATTCCGAATCTGAAGATAACAGGGACATGGATGACGGCCATGATTATTGCGAACCATTTAAATTATTCGCTTCTTCATCTAACGATGACAATTTTTCAGAATACAAAACTAAATCTTCTTCCGAATTAACAAATCTTAATGTGGAAGAAGTTAAAGTCAATGTTAAACCTAATAATAATAATGAATCTCAAAAAATGGAACAACAGCAGGCATCATCCTCTTTCGTTATATCCGAAGAATCTATTTTTGAATCAACTTCTTCCAATATGGATACAGAATCTGTTATCGAACAACCACCTCCTTTCCAATCGATACCACCGTTGAGTGAAAGAATTCGTAAGAAAACTGATGCCCCTAGTAACACGAAAAGTCAATTAAATTTCGAAGCAGCCATCATTGAATCTACGATTGATATGGAATCCGAGGAAGTATGTAAAAATGGTGAAGATAAATCAATGCTGTTGTCGACAGTTTTGCGAGAATTGTTAGAGGCTAAACTTGAAGATGAATTATCTAACGAATCTACGAATAAAGTTGACAATGAGGATACTGCCACATCTTACAAAGATATACATAGATCACTTTCACCTGAAAATACAGGAGAAGTTAAAGATTCCTCAATGAAATGTAAAAACAATAAAGAAACTCATTTGGATGAAGTTTCGGTTAAACAAAATGACATTCAACCAACAAAAGAAATAAAAAGATTGAAAGATCCTAGAACAGTTGTACCAAATAATATGATAGCACCTTCCATGAATGCTCCTCAGCCAGCCAAGCGCAAGGTTAGAACGGTAGGATTATAGTAGATTTTCTGTTTGCACCCCCCCCGTTTATTTTTTTTTTTCGATATTTATATTATTATGTTAAACTTATTTGAAAATTAATTGATTATATTTGTCCATTGGTTTGACAGTTATCGATATCTGAATACCGAAAACGCAAACAACAATCGACTGGTACACCCCCAGATCCGGAACCGTCTAATGATTCAACGATAGAAAAGGATAAAGCAAGAGGTAGATCAGATAGTGCAAGCAGTGGGACTTCATCTCTTAGTTCAGACGAAGAAGGTTCTAAAATTTCCCTTGATTTACCAGGGATTACTGCATTACCACTTTTCACTAATGCTGAAAATGATGAAAAGAAAGGTAATAACGAGCATCCAGATTCTTACATTGTACACAATTCCTGTTAATCTGCAGTCTACATGATATTCATCAATATCAACTTTAGAGTATGTATTTTTTTACTAGTTATAAGTTTTCTTAGGTTATCAATGTATAAACACACACACACACAAAGAAAAAAAGAAAGAAAGAAAGTCAAAACTTTTTGAGATCATATATGGATTTAGTCAAAATGATCAAATAGAAAATTTCTATCTCTGTTGCATTTTATTTTTGTAAATTTATGAATCATCAAAGGATTAGTAAAAAATCATGCACGTGTTATATAACCCAAAGTTTCCTCATAATTCTCAGTGTATATCTAATAAATATATATTTATATTTATATTTAGGTAGTGAAGAAGGTACTATTGGTTGGTCGGCAGCACCAACATTGGTTGAACGTCAAAGAGAAAATTTAACGGAAAGATTAAAGCGTGAATTTGGCTTATTTCTTAGCGACGACGAAGAAGAAAGAGCTCGCAAACATGGTAAGCAAACAAACAAACAAACAAACAAACAAACAAAGAAAAACAAAAAACAAAGGATCAACATTTATAAATGAATAAACGCTTAACGTAAAAGTAACATTAAAATGATTCTCCTTATTTTTGTCTTCAATTGTAGGTTTGACTGCAGAAGCTATTTTGAAAGCTCGTAGAACGTCACCGCCATTTTCTTTGATTCCAGCTACAAATCCTGCGTTTCCTTTACCACAGTTACCACCTCAGCCATATATACCACCACCAGGATCTTCAGCAATACATTATCCACAATACCAAGCTAATAAATCATCCTCCTGTCCTGTTGTTCAGTATTCCAATTTTAGTGCACCACAAGCAACATTACAAACGGTATATCCAAATGTAACAAGTCAAGGAACTACTGTCAACAAACCAGTACAATTTTTGGTACCTCAAGCAGCATCACAAGCTCCACCAGGTTCTAATCCATATCCTCCGCAATTTATTCCAACGACGATTCCAACAACAGTGCCAATTACGAAATTTTCTTCTTCGGCGACTTCAACGTCCGGCGGGACTACTACTCCACACGTATTTTCAACATCAGGTCAAACGCAGAAACCTTTTTTCAATCATCCTGCACCAAGGTCGTAACTGGTATTAACGGTAGTACTATTTTTTTTTTTTTTTTTGTAGTTAAAGTACGATTGATAAAATTATCACAATTGCTCTCTCTCTCTCTCTCTCTCTCTCTCTTTTTCTTTCTTTCTTTTTCTTTTTCTGTCGACAAATGGCGAACAGTGTGATGCAATTAAGATACAAATAATTTACAGCTATTAATCGATTGTTGTTGACAAAATATGAATAGAGGGGAACGTATATATACGTCCTTCGTAGTGGAAACGTTTAAAAGTAATTATAAACATCACAATTGGAATATACTCGTAAAAGTCACACAATTTCTTCTAAATATTATTTATTTTAAATAAATTTGTATTCACATATATATATATATATATATATATATATATATATATATATGTGTATATATGTGTGTACAATATATGTATAAACGCACATGCGTATTTAGTAGCATAATAATGAATGCTACAAATCACATTGTATTATACGTAGAAATTGAAGAAAAAAAAATATATAATAATAATAATAATTATCATTAATTAGTAATGACAAGATGTAAGATGTACGAAAACATCATCTGAAGTTAAGAAATATGAGACTTGTTAAACGTTAGGTACTATTATATATATATATATATACGCTTTTAGAATTTTCATGCGCAGACACAAAAAACAAACTATACTTGGCATAGAAATTGGTTGTTTTTTTTTAATTTTTTTTTTTTTTTTTTGAAAATAACTCAACAACAGGTTTCTTATAAATGGCCTAATGGCAATAGTTGAAATATTTTCGAGAAATAGTCGTACGCATTTTTAGATAGGTATATGTTTGAAAACCTGTTGATACAAAATATATATTTAGCATCATCAAAAGCAACAAAAAAAAAAAAACAAAACAAAACAAAATAAAAAGGAAAAAAAAATAGAAGAAGAAGAAGAAGAAGAAGAAGAAAAGAAAGAAAAGAAAGAAAAGTGTATTCCAAAAATGTGTGTATGCACTTTTGATATCACCAAAATGGTGCGCCGTATAAGAGTCAAGTGTTTATACATTAATAATAACATTAATCCAATTTTGATAATATTTAAAAGAAAAAGAAAAAGAACAAGTTGGAATCTCTTTTAAATGGATGATAAATCAAAGATCCGTTGATCGAAATCTTTAAGAACAGTTATCATCGTCACATTAATTATATATATATATATATATAATAATGTGCACTTATGAGTCTGCATTATTATTCAATGAAAAATTGTATATATTACTTGCATATATGCATAATATTATAATAATATAAATCTTTATTTAATCATAATAATTGTTAGATTAACCTATAGACTTCTAATAACACAATAATTAATTAATTAATTAATTAATTAATAAATAACCTTGTGCTGTGTTGTTGTAATCTTTCAAAAGCCAGTACTATCTGTGTCCAGATTTCTCTATATTTTATATTTCATCAATGTAAAATTCGTAGATAATTAGTTATAATAAATACGTTGAAATTTCATTTCGAGAGAGTTCATTTATAATAATAATAATAATAATTATTATTATTATTATTGAAAATATGTGTTTGTAAATTTAGCTTTTTTTTTTCTTTATTTTGTTTTGTTTTGTTTTTTTTTTTTAAATCACATTTGCGCTTTCATTTAGGCGAATAAGAAAGAAAAACCAAGAAATTTTTATTGTAGCTTTTATAATTTTATGGCAAATATCTCTCTGTTCGTGTAAAGGCCTTAAAAAGAACACATAGTAGAACAAAAAGAAGAAGAAGAAGAAGATGAGGAGGAGAATAATAAGATTATTGTTAATATTAAATAGAAAAAGGACAAGGCCTTAGGATACCTTAAGTATTTCTAAATTAATATATTTCAAACATGACGTGTCATTGTTTTATATGTTTAGAAGTCTAAAGAGGATGATGATGATGATGATGATGTATGTTTTATACAAAAATTCTAAGTCCTTGTTATATTATATCAGTTGTTTTCTTCACAATATAACATATATATATATATATATATAGATAAATACCTACATTAAAAATAAAAAAATAAAAGGTGCTTATTTATTTTAATTTTTATGGCAAATCATAATGAGAAACACAAACGTTTTTAGTTGTTGGTTGGTTGGTTGGTTGGTGGTATTTTTCAATTTAAAAATTGATTGACGAAAACAATTTGTAGAAAAAAACAAAAAGAAACAAAACAAGGTTGTGTTAAATTTTGGGGATTGTTATATATTCATTTATAATTATCCCAAAATTTAATGCTCTCATTTAAAAAAAAAAAAAAAAAATAAGTACAAAGCTCTGAGAGAAAATATAAAAGCAGCAGCAGCAGGAGGAGGAGGAGAAACATTTTCGGACAAAATAATAACATTGAGAGACAATTGTAGGCTCTACTTATTCTATTTAAAAAAAAAAAAAAA